TCCTCTTTTGAATTAGTCAATGGGTTATCTTAAAATATTTATTTGCGCAGGCGACTTTTTTTGGCGGTTTTCTGGACTATCGCCAAATATATAAACCTTTATTGCGGCCCAATTTACCACCCAATTTTTTTAAAATTTTGTCTACCCCCACTAATTCAAGGGTCTAGATTCCAAATATGTAAAAAAAATTATATGTTTATTCAGAGAAAGTACGTTTTTGTGTCTGATTTCGTAACTTAACTAATAGTTAGCACTAATTAATTAACATATTTGAGGTCACCCCCATGAACCATTAAGATTGACACTTAGTTCGTAAAAATCCGATCATTAGAACGAAAGTTATTCAGGGTGATTCGTTTTTTTTTTTGCGGACTGTACAACAACATTCTAATTGATTTATGGAAAAGAGTTTAAAAAAAAAACGAACCGTTATACAATGAACTTTTATCATTGAAAATATGTTGTTTTTTTTATCCGTGTATATTTTATTATGTGTGTCATAGTTTTAAAAAAAAGTTTTTTTTTTTTTAAATCTAGTAATTTATTTATGCAAATCTTGCTTATGGTACACTAAAGAAGACAACAAAAAAAAAGGTGTCGAAAATCATTACTAGCTTAGAAAATTTGATTTTTGACGTCCAAACCAATAAAGAAAACATGCTTGTTCAGAATCTTGGCAAAGCTGTTTTGCAGTTTATATTCTAATATACTTTTGTTTTATTTTCAGCCTCTGTCTCCCAGTATGGAAGTAGATCCACAAAGTGATTATAGAATGATGAGAGATACAACACTTAGAAGAGAGCTGCCTCCCATAAGTGGAGACAGGGGTTACGGACCACAAGGAGGGGGCCCATCTGAGCGGGACATGCACCCCCTTCCAGACCGCTACCCGCAAACGCACCACTCGCAGCCACACCGAGCACCACCCTCCTCCATGATGATGGACTTCAGTGACCAAGAGTACAGTGATCGTGCCGCGTGGGAGCGCGGAGTTGTGAGGGATCGCGATCGAGAGCGTGAGCGCGACCGTGAGCGTGAACGAGAAAGGTCGCAGCACGATTACTACATGGAAGACGTGGATCCTCAGATGAAGATGAGAATGGAAGGATCTCCCATGGATTACGGAGGGAGGTACGGAGCTTCAGAGATGAGGGAGATGCGGGAGATAACGGACCCGCGGGACATGCGACATCAACCGCATCATCCTCACGACAGAGATTATCCCTCCCCATATAGAGGGCAAACTATGGTGCATAGAGATATTTTGTAAGTTGCCTTCTCACCTTCATCTGACATCTAATCAACAAATTCCTGCGTATCGATTTCGACTTCCTTTTTTTAGGAAGTGAAAGGATGCCCTGGAGCAGCTGGAGCAACTTTCTTTATAAAGATCCCATCGCTCTTAACATTTCTGTTGAAAATTGCCTCTTGGATATCAATAAGCCAACCTTATCTTTTTTTTCTTCTTGCTCTTCTTCCATCACGTGACCAGCCCATCCTGTGTTGTGTTTCAAGTTTCTATAATCTTTATATTTTGTTCGTAAAATGTACGAAGAGAATTGAAAAAAAAAACGAAAACATTTTCTCTTCTCTTCTATTGCTGCCTTCACAAAGTCCATCCCAGCACATCGTTGGTTTGTTGTAACGTTTGTAATCATTTTAAAGAAAAAAAAACTGACCTCAGGAATGTGATTGTGACCTCATCACATTCAAGAACTAACTAAACCGTCAACGTGGAATGCTCAATCGTAGAGACCGCCGTTGGCCCATTATTAACTCTATAAATATATATATATATATAATTGTTGACGCGTGTGTCAAGAATATTAATATTTGCGTTTTAACCATTGAAAAATAAAACTTGTGAAATCTATGCATAATACGATTTCAAATGATATGGAAGAGCTTTTCGCTGCAGATTTTTGACATCTATGACTGTTCATTTTTTAATTTTTCAAAGAATTCCTAAATAATCACTGGCATGCTCATTTTTTAAGTTTGCATTGAAGTTTAAACATTTTCGAGTCAGAAGTTCAATTCAATATTCTGCAATAGCATACATTTTCCAGTGGAGTTTCAAAATAGTTCCTCCACAATAATCGGAATTTCTTACATTTCTACTTCCCAAGCAGACAAAGAAAAATCAACTTACAAACCTAGTCATGTTTAGCAACTTTTTTCCACTCTATTACATGTATGGTGTTACCAAGTTCATATGACCCTTTTTTATGAAAGTAACAAAAACTACTGCGTTAGCTGCGTATCATCTGTGATGTGCTAAAACAGTTGTTTATCAGCACCATCGTGCTGAAAGCCTAAAGAACATTCTAGATGGAAAAGGTACAAAATAGAACTTTAAAAAGTAGACGACAGGAGAATCCCAACCGTAGGACATTCTTTCAAAGATGATGCAAATAATAATTGATTGCTAGTCAAAGCTGTGTATTATTTGTGATGAATTTTGAATACAAAACTGTTCTACTGACAATATTAGATTTTTATGTTTAAAACCATTTTTTTTTAATGTCATAGTAGTTATTATGCTTTTTCCTAGAAAAAACTACGGGAGAGATTTTTCTGCGTATTTATTATTCTCTTCTGACAATACCCTCTATTATAACATTAAACCTGTGCATAATTTATAGTTTTTCATTCTTAATGTGTTCAGTATGATGAAAAATTATACCTTTAAGCAATTTTATGCCTTTATAAAGCAATATTTTTTAAAGTACACTTTTCCCTCAGGGAAAAATATTATTTGGTATCACTAATCTCTCTGAAACCAAAACAGCTTTCTCTTTTATAACTAAAGCTACTTTTCAACGTCATAGATACAGGATGACAGAGCAAAACGGAAAGTTTTGAAATAACTTAATTTGAAGAAATAAAAAATAGGAAAAAAATACTTTATTGAGGAAAGTTGCATTGATGTTTTCATAATGTCGCAAACTGTCTAAATTCGTAAAAACGTACCCCGAACTACAGTTCATACATTTGCATTTCATGAAAATCTAGAAATGTTTGATGTAGAAGATTTTTATTTGTGAAAGTGCGTGTATAATTTAGACAGACGAATAATTTAGAAAACAATTATTTAAGTTGATTCATTTATTATAAGGAACGCTGATTTTAATCTAAACTTGTAAATATTTATGGCATTTTTAAATTGACTATTTGGGGTTGTACTGGGTTATACAAAGAAATGAAACATCATGGATCGGCATAATTTGCACAAATAATGTACAATTTATATTGAAGGAAGTCCGTATATACAGAATGTCATCTATGTTTCCATAACACCATGTGTTTATTTACTTCTTTAAGAAAGTATCAGAAAGATGAGCTACATTAAGCTTTTCTGAGCTTCCACAACAGTCTATTAGAATATAAATGCTGGGTCAGAGATACTTATTTTCTGTGTCATCTTTAAGAATTTAGACAGTTTTTGATAGTAAGTTACATATAAATGGCTTGCAGTATATGTATACTTTTATCAATTAAAAAAGGTTTTTACTTTTTTTTATTTCTACAAATTATTTTTTTCAAATTTTCCTTTTCTCCTACGGTAGCCTGTATTGAGTTAATAGGAAAATAATGAATAATAAACTTCGAAATGAAAGAATTCGGATAACATTTTAATGGTAAAATATATATGCACTTACTGAGCCTATAAAGATCTTTAAAATGATGGAACTATTTAAGAAATCATTTGGTTATAAGATACTATGCAATATTTATTCGTAAGGAGGATTCGCGAGTTTATCTATGCAATTTACAAAAGATAATAAGAAATATGCTACACGGTAAAGACTCTTTGTTTTTAAAATTTGCTCAAATGCGAAATTGTGTGAAATGAACAGTTTCTTAAAGCTTTAAGCGCGATTGCATTTTTGAAACTAAACAAATTAAGTTCATTTGCATTTAGCATTTTTATAAAGTAATTTGAAACCTAACGAAAAAAAATTAGCAATATGTGGTACAATATGTGAGGCAGAATGTTGTGGTACTTAATAGTAAAAGAATCTCTTTTTTACATTTAAAAACTTTTGTTGTAAAATCACATTCCAGCACTGTCATAATTTTTCTGGGCTTGTTTCCTGCTTGTTTTCCAAATTGGAAAACACGTTGACTTTAAATAATTTCAACTTCTGCAAGTACTTAAATATTTTACATCTATGCAATTAAGATACTTAAAAAAAGTTTTAATGTCTTTAATTTATTATTTTTTAAATATTTAAATGGATTAAGTGGATAAATCTGATTTATAAAAAGAAAAAAGTTTTGATATGATTTATTTAATAGTTTTTCCTGTCTATATATAGCTCAGTTATAGTTTTGAAAACTTAATAAGATTTCTAAAATGCTTTCAGTTTAATAAAGCATAAAAAACACATATTTCCATCAGCCTCAAAATTAACTTGGTTTGTTCCTAACAGCAAGTAATCTATTTATATTTTTAAAAATAGTATAACATATCTACTTCATCCACCTGTCTTTACAATTTTTAATGGTTTTTTCACTTTGAAAACTGTAAGAAACAATTATTTATAATTGAGTTTGGATTTAAAAGATTCTATTTGCTAGCAATAAAAACAAATATTTAGTGTGTACAGGGAACCAAAAAGAAGAAAACATCACCTTGGATAACTTTTGTTCTAATCAACAGATTTTTCCCAGACATTGCATGAAAAAGGAGCATTCTAAATGTCATTTAATCTAGTAATTAGATTTTTACTGACTCAATCTTATTAATTATTTTATTTAGTAACGGTAGAAGAATGTTTGAACTGTAAGATCTTCAAATTTTTTCACTGTCTTAACGTATGGAATTTTAAATGACCGAATGAACAAAATAGATCGAATAGTTCTCAAGAAATCAAATTTAAAATAAACGACTACTTTGAAATTCTTTTTTTGAAGGACTTTGGTCTGAAACTATTCGAATGATTTCTAGCTAATTTTATATTTTGTTATTTAAAATGATATGTTTCAAAATTGTGTAGATCTTGCAATTCAAATTTTTTCGAGTATTGTTAAATAAACTAATAAAAAATACTTATTGCTCGAAATTATTTTTCACATGAAAATATCTTTATAACGAGGTAAATGATTTAATATTTGTGTGCGAAAAGTTTTCGAAAGTTACGTAATACGATAAAAGTGAAATTAGCATTAAGGATTTAAACTCTCCGTTGCATTACTGCCTAAACAATTGGGACCCAATTTTCTAAATTGAAGCTACTTCACGTCCCGCAGTGGACTGATCGTTAAGACACGTTTCCCAACAGATCACCGAAGTCAAGCATCACTAGCTGCGGTCAGTGTGCGGGGGGAGTGTGACCACTTGGATCAGTCCGCTTAGGGACCGAGGGTGTGCGGTATTGGTCCTCGCTAAACTGTTCTACCTTAAAGTGCTCGACTTCGCGTGCAGGTCGTCGAGCGACCGAAGCAGGGATGTCATCCCCTCTACAGAGGTTCAAAATTGTGCTGTCATGTCTTCGGATCACCCTCAAGGATGTTTCCCAGACCGTCGCCAATAGCCCATTGTGCAGCACTAGTGTGCCGTAAATCAACAACAGCAGCTACTTCACGTGGATTGAGGGTCACGAACCTAAATCCATCGAAAAAAATTCCGAGGAAGTACGCTTTTGTGTCTGATTTCGTATCTCTAAATATTGCCTGCTCTAATTAATTACCATATCTACGAGGTCCTCAAACCATTAAAATTGAGTCCAAGTACTTAGCAATCTGATTATTAGATCAAAAGTGGTTCTATGTGATCATTTGGTTTTTAAATTTGTTTTTATGCACAAAGCGAAAATGTGTACTGTTTCAATAGTTGACTCAAATATAATTATTTGGTGCTAATTGTTGAAGTGACAATAAGAAATCAGTTGCATAAACTTTCGCTGAATATTCAGACGCATCGGCTGATTTGGTTTATAGAGTTATAAAATAAAAGGAAGTAGCTGCAATCTGGAAAATATGGTTTTAATTGTTTAGTCAAGAGCAAAGAAACAAGCAATGCATAAAGAAATTTACTCAAAAAATTCTATTAGCATAAAGGTTACCAAATTTCAGAGATATTTCACTATATCTGATAAACTTTTAACAAAATGAACGCAAATGTTTTTGCTCACAATTATAAAATTAGTATAGCGAAAGAAAATTTGACATAGAAAATAACGTTTAACAATCGTTCAATAGTTTTTATTATTTTATTCAATAAGACTAAAAAAAAACTTTAATTATAAGGTATAAAAAATTTTACGTCATTTTTAGCTAGGCATTTTGAATTGACATACAAAATTCGAACTCAATCGATCGTATAAAATCTGAGTCATAAAATTGAAAAGAATAATATTTTTAAACTTTATTTCTGGTATTAGGTAATCAGCCTATTTGAAAAGTCAACCATGAAAATTGGTATTTAGAAACTGATAATCCCATCATTTAGAACAAAAGTTATTCAGGCTATCTTTTTTTAAATTATACAATGATAATTTTGTTCCAAATGTACTGTAAAAATGAAAATGATCGGTGTTAAAAAAGTTTTATGATATTTTATTTTTAGAAGGCCTTACTTCGTTTTTTTTTTCTTAACGCATTTCTTTCGTGAGGCAAACAACTATCGACGTCAACAGATTTTTTAACCGAACGACGTTCACAGTTAAAACGTAAATAAAGTGCAAAGCAGTGAGGTAAAGTACATCATCATAGTTTAAAGTACATAAAAAGGGAAACTTTTGGCACCTAAACTCTTTTGAATTACTGTTAAATCTGTACTAATAACTCTTAAAGTGTTCTTACATCAGTTTTTATTTTTAAATATAAACCTTATGTAATAATAAATATTGAAAATTCGATATACAATTAATATAATATTGAAAAATCCATATGCAACCTTTTTCAAAATGTTCATCAAAAACAATTTAACTCATTCTAGTATTTTCAGGCTTTAAAGTGCTCTTTGAATTTATATATCAAATAGCCACATTTTTTAAATACACAGCTGGAAACTTGAAATTTCCCCCCAAATTAGCCTAGCTGAACTTCCCTTATAATTCAGATGTAACAATTAGCCTCTTTCTATCTTATATAAACTTTTACTGATTTTGGAATAAAATAAATTTTCTCTCACATTGACCAATTGTATTTGCTAGAGTAACGAAAAGTATTGTCTGATTATTAGAGATTTAGAAATCTGCACTTGAAAGTATTTATTGCCTTATGTGTTGCCATAATTTTATTATTCAAGTTCTTTTTTTCAGCTGCTCAAAAGAGTATTCATGGCCTTACGCAATGCTCTTTAAGTCCCGACAGTTTTAGACTGGCATTTTCTAAAGATAAGATTTTATTCAACTCAGTATTATATAATTTGTATTATTTAATAAATAATCCTAAGATACTGACATGGTGAGATATTACCAGATTAAAAACATCATTCGTTTGAAAAATGTATAAATAGGAAATAACAGTCGACATGCTTTAAGCGCTCAGAAACAGGCGTCCGTTTTCAAGATTTGCCAGACGTGAATGAAAAGTTATTTGAAATATAAAACATAAAGTTGTCAACAAAAAATGGAATGAGAGAAACCGAAACTAGAAAAACCACTGTAACTAAGAGAGAAAAAAAATGAAGATTCTTTTTTTTTTCTTCCTTCTTCTCTTGGCTACTGTAGTTTTTCTAGTTTTTGTTTATCGCCAATAATTTTCATTGGCCTCTTATGTTTCATATATCAAATTACTTTTGTTTCTTATCATTCATGCCTGGCAAGTCTTGAAAATGGGTACCTGTTTTTGAGGGTTTGAAGCATGTCGACTGTTATTTCCTATTTATATATTTTGAATTTATATATTTTTATTTGTTATTCATTTGGTAATTCGTCAATTTGTTGTTCATTTGTTTATTATTTTTTTAAAGAAAAGTGTTTTCTGAAAGTTAGAAAATGTAATATGATTGTTTTCGAGCACCTCACAATCGTTTTTTCTTGAGTAAAATTCAAAGTTTGCATATTTTTACCGAATATTTTAGGAATAATGAATAACAGCTTTAAAATAGAAATTACTTTAAACTATTGTATTTTAAAGATAATAACACTGTTATATCTAGCATTTGAGAACTGTTAAAAGATTAAAGAAAATATTAGTTTTTAAAAATTTAACACGAACTTTTAGTCAGAGCATTTATGTTCGTTTTTCATCGTGTCGTTATATTTCTATAAAGGTGAAAACAATTTTACAGCCGAATTCCGTTAATATTTGTTTATTAAAATGTATATATTTTTCAAAAGTTACGTTCCTGTTCAATCCTATAATGGAAAGTAAATAATAATGAGATCGCAGCAAAAGGGATTATAATTTAATGCATTTTTATAGTCTGAAATAAATTAATCTTAGAAATCATTATACCTTTTGAGCAGTTCTAAAATTTTTGTTGTGATATAGAAATAAGTCAAAATGTATTTTTCTTACTTCCATTAAAATGTAAAAAATTTAGGTGTATAATTATGCAAAAGACTATGCAATTCTAAAAATACTTATTAAGTTTTGTATTTGCAAAAGTTCAAAGGGATAGTTCAAAATCGGAATATTTTTCCAAGCCCTTGCACAGGCTTTCATACTTGTACTATTTTTTAAAAAAACAAACATATTCCGTGATATTGATGCTGCAATAGATGTAATACCAATTAATGTTATTGCACTCGTTTTAAACGTTTGTTCCTGTTTTACGATTATTTTTGTGGCTTGACTGCATAATATATATTATATATTAAATTTCTGAAATTTTATTGCATCGTTTCCATTTATTTGCATAATCTTGACTATACAAGTGATACTTGTAAGTTACTTTATTACAAGTAAGAAAACACTCGCATGTAACAAATTTTTATTACAGTTAAATACGAATATATCGCAAATGTATGATGTATTTAAACATAATTATTTATAGTTATTCAAGAAACCAATAATTAATCGAAATAATTTGCTGAATTAAAGCATTTTATGAGGTTTTGTATTCATCCTTATGTATGCTAATATAAATTTTAAAAAAAATAATTTCATTAATTTAAATTTTATTTACTCATTTATTTTAATTTTCATACCAATCTATTTTTATATACTATTTTTATATTTAATTTTATTTTTATTTAATTTATTTATTTGAAACCTTTAACTTCAGCTTTTGTTTGCCCCCATTATTTTAAAACATTCTAACTTTGTTAATCAATTGGTACAACTAAATATTTTTTATTTGACGCGGAAATGTATAACGTTTATATTTATAATAACGTTTTTTTCAAAACCATTGTTAATATACTCATCAAAAAAGTCGGTGAAAGTGTGTGAAGATAATCTTGTTGAGGTAGAAATGATCTTTATTTGGTCGTATATTTTCGGTTAAGTCAAATAAAATTCTGCAACCATTCCAAAACGTACACGTGATTACTGATGAATTGAAATAAAATAACAGTCAGAATTTGTAGTTTGATTTATATAAAAATCTTATTTCTCTACTTTTACTCTAAAAAATCTTTTTTATTGATTCATATCAACGGAAACACAAAGAATATGTGTTTTTATTATTTAAAAATATGCACTTTATTTTTACATCAAATAATTTATGCTAAGAATATTTAAAAATATACATTGAATTCTTGTACCAAAAACAATTTTCGATCTTTTTTTTTGGTAAATAAATAATAAATAAAAAAATTTCGCATTATTTTCTGACGGATGCAAGCAATTATTCAGTATACTGGAAGAGAGGAATGTTTATGGCAAAATATGTTCTAAAAAAATTTACTTTCTTTGCGTTTACACCTTATTTCATTAATTAACAACTTATTATTTATTAAATATAATTTCGATTATCTCTTACGTTTGAATATAAAGAATACGTCACTAGAAATGTTTAGATCTATATAATATTGCATACATATACACTGTTGATTATTAAAGGTGTGAACTAAAGGTCTGGTTTCTTAGGACAAACGCCTTATCTGAGCGTCAGCGGGACGTCAACGTCCCGCTGACGCCAACAGAATACTGGTTTGTTAGCTCAAGACCTGGTTTCTTAGAACTAACGCCTTATCTGGGCGTCAGCGGAAAGTTGACGTAGAGCTGACGCCAAAAAAATACTTTTTTGTTAGCTCAGCGTGAGCATTCGGTCCAACGCAGACATTATCTCTCATTGCGCATGCGTTAATAACGTAAACAAATATTTATTTTGAATTTGTATTGATTTTGTTATTGTCGACCAGTGTTTTAGAGAACAAATAATGACTTTGTCCAAGAAAAAACACATTACAGCTGAGTTAAATGAAGAGTGCTATGTTTAATGAAGAAGCTATGTTTAATGTCAAAATCAAAATCTTGACTGATTTCAATGTGCTGTTGGATGTTGTCCGCCATTGCTTCTGTGGTTAACGTCACGTTGTAATCCAACTGCAGTTGAGTTTGACGGCAATTGTAGTTCAAGATGAGCGTTCGATGGCGTATACTATCAAACTTACAAATGGACCAATCAGAGGTTAGCGCTGATTTCCAGCTGACGGCGTCTTGTCCTAAGAAACCAGGCCTTAAGAGATATTTATTACAGAACTATTTATTAAACATACAGTTATTCAGTTTAAAAAAATGGCTATCAATACGTCAATTTTGAACTCTGCAAATTTTTTTTTACAAAATGTTGCAGTTCCATTGTTAGAAAATTTTACAATTTCTTTTTTCAATTTAGACATTTTTTTCTCAATGTTTTGAATAGTTTGATCACATTTATTTCTATGCAGTTAAACTGAACATGAAGCTTCCTAAATTGATCAGTATAGTTCTATCTAAATAGTTTCCTTGATGTACAAGAACTTGAGCTTGCCTAGGTATATTAAACTTGGAAGGACAGTAAAATCCTGTTCAAAGTACATAATTTATATATTTAATTAAGAAGTTTTTCTACATGTAATGATTTCAGACCTCTTCATTCAGGCCGAAGGCGTTCCTCAAGTCAGTGCTCTAAATGTCATACATTTTATTACTCATGTTTCGCTCATTTTGAACATACTAAAACTTCATGTATTTGGCTCACTTTATGTTGACGATCTAAATGTTTCATGTTCTGGCTCTGATATGCACGTTGTTGAGCGTCAACTCCAGCTGGCCGTCAACAGGATTTCAAAACGGTGTGAGCAAAATGGTCTCACACTTTCACCCACTAAAAGTTCTTGCATACATTTTTGTCGATTACGCAGATTACGCAATGATCCTGTTATTTCTATTCATAACGTTAATATATTTATTGTGTCGGAAAAAAGATATTTAGGCGTAATTTTTAACAAACTCACTTTTCTGCCCCATATTCTTTATCTTAGAAAACGTTGTGAAAAAACTTTAAATGTGTTGTGTTCTCTCAAATACTTTCTGAGTGCGGATCGCATCGCCCTAATCAGTATCTACAAAGCGTTGATATTATCACGCATAGATTACGCTTGCGCAGTCTATGGCACTGCAACTGCTTCAAATTTGAAGCGGTTAGATACAGTGCATCTTACTGCAATGTGAATCTGTAGCGGCGCGTTTCGAACGTCCCCAGTCGGAAGCTTATATAGTATATGTAATTTATCATTTATCACCTCTATTTTTGACGTTTGCAGCTCTGTCTCACATTTTACTTTCGTGTTATGTCATCTAACTCCCATCCTCTTCTACATGAGGTTATTCCACTAAGCTTATGAGGATTATAAGATGCACTACCCTCATACATACCCCCGTTTAATGCTCGTATGCTTTCAGACATTCAATTTTTGCGAATCACCATCTCAATCAGCCAATCACGTTCTTAACATACCTTGGGTTATTCCGTCCTATCACTTTTATTTTCCATTTGCTTCATACAGAAAATCCAGTAAAGCTCCTAGCGTGGATATTCAGCTATTCATCTCTCATCGTCATGAGTATTCTCAGTATGTTTCTGTTTATACGGATGGGTTAAAATCTCCAGGGCATGTTGGATGTGGAATCATTATAGCTGATCGAACATACAGTTATATCATACCTGCCATTTGTTCTGCATTTACTGCTGAAGCTGTAGCCATTCTCATAGCTCTACGACTTATCTCATCACTGACAGTACGAAAGTTTTGCATTTACTCTGACAGCCAAAGTGTTTTACGTCAGCTGAATAATCATGTAAACAATGAAGCTCACCCTATTTTATGTATCATTAAGCATTGGTTGGTTAGTCTTCACAAAAATAGTTTTAACATTCTGATTTGTTGGATCCCCAGCCATGCTGGCATTTGAGGTAATGACATGGCTGACTCTGCTGCCCGATCTGCTACGACTCCATTAAACCTATTAGTCCCCATTTCTGACATGAAGAATTATATACTAAATTATACATTCTTTGTGGCAGCAACACTGAGATTTACAAATTGAGAACAAACTGCATACAATTAAATCCACGTTAGAGCCTTGGCATACTCGACTGACTCATCTTCACTTGCTGTTTGCAAAACCGCCTCCTCGATGCGATACTTGTAACGTTTCACTTTCAATTCATCATATTTTAATCGCTCGCGCATGTTTAAACCAACAACGCTTAACCTTTTTAGAAAGCACAATTTTATGTATAAAAGACTTGTGAGATAAAAATCACCATCCTAATATCTCTGCATTTTTACACGCTATTGGAATTTTAAGTTGTATATAATTGTTTTATACTTCTTACCATTTTAGTAAATTTACCATGAAGTTTTATTGATTTTAATGTATGTAACTTTACAACATTGTTTTAAAATTTTCTCTATCTTATCTGATTTTATACATGTGCTGTACTTTACCTTTTAATCTGTTTTTAAAACCGTGTGTTTGGCGCTGTATGTCCTTTTTTTGGACCTTGTGCCACTAAACCCCACATTCAATTCAGTTCTACGTGTAATGAGAACGAAATGTCTTAATTAGATTGAATTCGATTGCTTTTTTAGAATAACCTTGACGGAGTTAATTAAACTTAATAATATTATCATCGTTGGTCTGACAACCCAGAGTGGTCCTTGGCCTTCTCTAGAACATTTCTCTATGTCGTTCACCTTTTTCCATGCCTTTGCTAGTTCAATACTCTGTTTCAAAATCTGCTTTAATGGTGTTCAGCAATCGAAGTTTTTTGGCGCCCCATAACTCTGCTACTAATTTTATTTTATGTGTAGGACAATTTGTATGTAAACGGCAAATAAGTCGCACAAATCTCATTCTGTTTAACTTCATAAATTGTTTTACATCAATGACTTCATAAATTTTGTAAATTTCTGTACTTGCTCTTCTGTAAAAATTGCCCGGTTTGACTCCATCAAAAGTATATTGGTGGTTGGGTTTTTTCAAAAATAGCTTTTTGCACACATGACTATATTATCTTTCTTTCGGCTTAGTCAAACTTTCGGATGCATAGGTTAGGACTAGACATATAATAATTTTGTACAATAGTAGTTTTATTTCATCCATTAAATTTATCCATTACCATAGCTGTAACTTTAAGGCATATGTGGATCAGTCAATGCTACTATTCTATTATAGGTGGATTTACTAAAGAATGCCCAATCAGATTTATTTTTGTTTCCACCACTTCTTAATCAGTGTTAAAGAAGTATAATTTAACAACTCAAATTTATTTTTAAATAATAATTCCCCATATTGTCCTGTTTTAAAAATATTTCTTCTTTAACAGCACTACAGCATAGTGAAGGCCAAGGCCTTCTCAGTCTGCCTCTTCCAGACAGTTGGACATGTAGCTTCATCTATTCACTCCCAATACTTATATAAACTTCTCCATGAATTAATTTCTTTCACTGCTCCAAAAAGTGACCAAAGGATTTTTCCTTCGAAAGCGAGTAATCTATTTTCTTCTGCTTTATTAAGCGTCCAAGTCTCACTGCCATACAAAATAATCGGCCCAATAAGTGCTTTATATAAACTTGAGTATTTTTTGAAATATGCAAAAGTATAAGTAAATGCGCAAAAACATTGATAAGTTTTTTTTCATAGATAATAAATCTTAGTCTTAAGTCCGACGCAAAAATATTGTGTCTTAGATTAATAAAAGCTTTTATTTTAAATATGGTTACTATTGAATGTTCATTTCATTAAGTTTGTAAATTTAAGCTATGCAAACTTTCGCTAGTGTACATAAAAAATTGCAACATTTTACAATTAAAAATATAAATTATTTAATACATTGTATTGATATATCTCTTATATTTACAAAACTTCATAAATCACTCAACTAGATATTAAAGTCAAATATTAAAAACAGAAAACTAATTTTCAACGAAAGTGTTTAAATGTAAACTTAAAATGTACAAATATTTTTCTTCTTGTCATATATACACAATCTATCCAAAGTTATTTACAAACATTCTTCAGAAGTTGGAAAAAAAGTTTGGCAAACTGAAGAGTCATTTGTTTTCATCCATAAATTATTGCACTATAGAGTATGCGTTTTATAAGTGGCAACTAACACTGAAGAGATGAACCTAGCCACTGAAATGAACAAAAGATAACAAATTCTTAGTTTAGCTTAAATATGGAATGTAAAAAAAACAGCTTTCCTCCACTATTAAATATGCAAAATGATAAGGGTGGATAAATAGTTAGGCATCTATATAGGTTTTTACTTATGAATAAGAAGCAAGCATAGATTATGAGATATGCATACAAGCATTAAATAATCCCAAGAAATTAACTGATTTAAAAAAATCATTCACTTCAAGAGTCGACAAGTCTACTGTTATTTGTTATTAATATTTTTTAAGCGAATGAAATTTTTCATCAAGTAATGCATACAAGTAGTTCTCTAAACAACATTTCGTGTTTCATTCTAAAATACTTATTTTTAAGTTGAAATTTAATTTTCTGTAAGCTTTTAAGAGCAAATTTTAATTCTGTCTGATGACAAGAATTAACATAAATGTTTGCAAACTATTTCAATGAATACCTTAAAATATTTTTTCTAACCAAAAATAAGTTATATTTTACGTCGTAAATTAATGTAATGTTTTGTTGCTGGTCCAAATACAACGACTGAAACAGCACTATTATTTTAAGAGAAAATACATTAAGTACGGTAAACTTATTTATCCAAAAAATAATTCTTCAAATATTTAAAGCATTCTTATTGTTTTAGAAGTTTTCTTATATTTTCATTAAATATTTTTAAATAAAATGCTTACCTATTTCTTGCACATAAACAAGCGAAAGATTTAAAACGCATCCTTTTCAGCCTTGTATGACTTTAAAATTTTATTTAGCATTAAAATGAGATTAATTTCCTGATTTAAATGACTAATATCATATAAATTAACAAATAAATTTCAAGTACATTAAAAAATACAGGTACAAAACTTTTTTTTTAGATTACCGATTTTTTTTATTATAAATTTTTTTAAAAATAAAAGTACTCAAGAAACTATGCAATTAGAAAGCTTAATATGATATCTATTTCAACATTTTAAAATTTCTTTTGATATGTTTGAAATATATATTTTTTTCGTTCTTTACTTAACAAAAACAAACTAAAGTCCTTCAGATTCTCCCCGTATAATCAACTTACAAAGGCTTTTTAATTACTTTTTAGTTCAGATTACTTTTTAAGAACATTTTAAATTCAAGGAAATCGTTGAATAATATTTTTTCAAATAATTCAAAGAAATTCTAATGCATAACCAAACCACGTGAAATGTTCCTATTTTTTCTGTTCGCCATATGAAAGATTTAAAAAAGCATGCATTAACATAATTACACAAATTTTATTTATATCACCAGTCAAAATACAAGACAGATAGTTCATCAGGCAACCTATATATCCTATGCTGAATAATAACAAAGGAATAATTACATAGAATAAATAATAATAGAGGTGAATAATAATGATCTAGGTAAGGAATGATAGAATAAATAATAATCTAGGTAAGGAATGATAGAATAAATAATAATCTAGGTAAGGAATGATAGAATAAATAATAATCTAGGTAAGGAATGATAGAATAAATAATAATCTAGGTAAAGAATGATAGAATAAATAATAATCTAGGTAAGGAATGATAGAATAAATAATAATACGGGTAAATAATATAAATGATAATGGAGGTAAACTTACAAGGGAGGTCAATTTGACAGCTTTCATTATATAATATAGAATGATAAGAGATTATTACTGTAATTGATAAGCAATCATAAAATCTATATCCTTCTAACATGAAATTAAAAAGTGCTTATTAATAAAAAAAATTAGATGTCTTTGAAACAATAAAAAGATGCCTTATACCGTAACCTTTATAGAATAAGCAGCATAGATTAGTTTTACCATACTCTTGAATATTAATATTTAATAAATGTTTATATTGCATTAATTTATTACTAAGTATATGTTAAGTTATGAAACAAAATATAATTCATTTTCATAAAACCAACTTCTCTCGTTTAAACAAGAGATTTTTCTGGAATATTTAAGGTGATAGTATATTTTTTTATTTTGGATTTTAAAGAAAATTTCACAATAATTTTGACCAAACGTTATCAATTTAAACAAATAGTTAAGAACTTATAATACTATAAAAAAGCTTTTAAATGCTGACAAAATTAACAAAGATTACTATGAAACAAAGATTAGTTTGTTTTTATTTTGCTAACTCTTTAAATATTCTAGGCTAAATATTCTATTCTAAAAATATTTCTAAATATTCTAGGCTAAATATTCCATTCTAAAAATATTTCTAAATATTCTAGGCTAAATATTCTATTCTAAAAATATTTCTAAATATTCTAGGCTAAAAATATTTCGAAATATTCTAGATCTGTGGTGGCTCAGGGGATAGAGCGCTCGCTTTCCAATGAGGTGCACGAGTTAAGAATCCCAGCGATGACTGGTCGATACAAATTCCGTACCCGGCTCTCACCGCCCGCTGTGCTGACGTAAAATATAATTAGTGGTAGACGGATCATGAGTTTGAATCCCCTTGCCATCAGGTTAACCATGGGAGGTTTTATTTGTTGTTTTTTTTTTCTTTTTCCATGAATCGCAAATGCGGGTTAGTGCGCCATCAAAAAGTCTTCACCGAAGACAAATTTTTCCCAATATTTGATCCAGGAGTTCCCTTGTTTCCTGGATTTAGTTCAAAATTACAAGGTTACGCAGTTGAATATTATTAGTAGTAAACCAAAAATTGGGTCGACTGTCCATCGACGGTTATAAAATATTCTAGGGAGCTAGTACTTCTTTGTTGGCATCTATGAGTACTGCACTTAAAAAATACGTAACTATCGTATTATTAACTTAATGAAAAGATAAGATTTTAATAAAAGTTTAGGGTACATTTCTTACCTCCTTAAGATTTACTTTCACATAACCGTTTTGCAAAGGATCTCGTTTTTCAAAGGCCCCTATAGTTTTAAAAAAAGACAAACTGTTAAAAATGTAATCAAGTGTTTCTAATATTTATAAATTGAGAACAATTTAAAGTCAATGAGCAATCTATGCAATGATTTAATAAATACAAATATAAATTCAAAAAGTTTCCTGGAGACATAATCGATTGAAAAATGCTTTACACTTTTAGATGTGAGTAGAGAGTCACAATCTCGATTCCGAGTCTAATTATATATCTATTTTAGCAGAGCAAAAGCCCATTAAATTTGCCATGACTTACGCTCTCTTGTTGATGTGTATTGGTGAGTATTGTAAGTGAAGTTATATCTCTTTAGCCCCACGCGATCAGGTCATTAAATATTGTTATATTGGTTATGTGTTGTGGATCGAACTTTAGCCTCTCAAAATCGGGAACAAAAAATGCTGAGTGAGCCATTTGAAATAGTGAATAAACATGCTTCAATAAATAAGCGGATAGAGGAAGTATGTAACACGAAATTTTTTTATGATCGACTTTAAAGTGCCTCATACTTTTATATTCCTGCTTTATAACACGTATAGCTTAGTTGAACAATTTATTTCAAAATACCGGAACTTTTATACACAAAAACAAAAAACAAATATTTTGTATTAAATCAAGCAGGATATATATATTTAATTATTAACTGCTATTTATAACTTCATTTTATTGTTGTTTTTCTTCTGCATAATCACTGAAATCCATCTAGTTACAAAATGGCAAAGTTTAATAAGAACTTTCAGTGACAAATAAAAGATTTTCTATAAATTTTCGATGCTGCATTCAAATATGTTCGTTGTTTCCACTCGTTAAAAAAAATATGTTCTTCGACTAAGGAATAATTCTTTTTGGATAGAATATTAGCTTAGAATTAAAGCCATTCTAATGAGCTATTGGAGGCAGTTAGAAATTTATCCTTGCGGTGATCCGAAGATAATAATGGTCTCAACCACAATTAAGCAGATGCTCATAACAATCACCCACGGGGCATCAAATCCTGCTTCCTGCCTTTCGGTCTACACTGCCATGCCATCTCTTTTTTTCCAGCCGATATTGTGAAACGGAGATTGAATGAAAAGGTCTACGACTATTGTAAACTAGGCTTAGTGTACAAAACCATTGTAGGGAAAGATTTGAGTACTCGCTTTAAGAGGGCACTATACCGCAGAAGAAACCCTTCATGCTAAATTTTGTTTCACCTAGACTAATTTAAAATTTAGAAAAAATTATTTCAGGTAATCCCATAGTAAATCAGGAAGTTTCAAAATGCTAACAAATTTTCCCAGTGTTATATGGTTTACGCATTGGTAAAGTAATCCTAGAGAAATTTGTTGACATTTTAATATTTTGAATTGTTTTCCAATTTTTGAAACTTCATGTTTTACTTGAGATTTGCCTGAACTCACTCTACTCTCACCTTCAAATTTTAAATTAATAATGAAGGTGAAGCAGAATTTGATTTGAAAAGTTTCTCCCGCTGTCTTTATAACGCGTTTGTTGACGATCTCGCGCTAGCATGTGATAGTGACCAGAGCCTACTGTCCAAGACCTGGAGATAAGTTCCAGGTCTGGCAGTAGAAAACATGTCTCCAATTAAGGTTTCCTCCGTTTATAATTTTATTTTCTAACGAGTTTTATAAATTTTACGAGTCGAAATATTTCTTTTAAGTCAAAAATTATTTTTTTGTTGGTAATAATGAAAAACTAGAAATATAACATTTGATAGGAAATAATAACTTTAAGGAATAATTTTACTAGAAAATATATTTGGGACACGAAAACAGAACTTATATCACAAACTGAAAGGAGAATGAAATAAACCGACTGAGCTTTTGCGACACTTTTCACTAGTTGCTTTCCCTTGTAAAAAACCAACATGTTTTTTCTTCGTTGTTAAATCTGTGTATATTAAGAAGACACTATACCACGGAAAAACATTTCATGGCATATTTCCTTTCACCAAAATAAGAGATTTAAAATTTAAAGTATAGAAAAAGCATGCTCAGGTAAAGCATGAAGTTTCTAAAAATTTAGAAATATCAAAATTCAAACAATATACAGCAGGTGAAATATTAAATAAATAATCCCACGAAATTGAAGCAGTAAGATATTATTTACTAACAAAAGACTACTTCTTCTCATGCACGTCTGTCAAGACTTGAAAATAGGTACCTGTTTTTGAGAGCTTGTAACACGTCGATTGTAATTTCCGAATTGTATATTTTTGAATCGAATAAAGTTTTAATACAGTTTATGAAGTTTTTTAAGTAATATATCGTATGTTTATTTAAGATAATACAGTGGAAAAGTAATTCTAATTTATATTTTGAAACATTTTTTCAGAATTTTACCTCACTTTTTCCTAAATTTTAAACTATCATGAAACAGAACCAGCCATGAAAAGTTACTAATCACGATAATTTTCAAGTTTCGATACAAAATTACTCAAAGCGAAACACACGGTCTGTTTCAATGAAAACGAATGAAAATATCAGCCATAAAAAATCATGCATAAAAATTCGCCGTTTTTCTCTAGGCAATTTTACAGCTTTTTTCAAAGGTCTCTTAATGTTTAAAAAATTTAATTCCTTTTTACCAACGTTAAGAGCTTTTTATTGAAGATAGGATTCAGACAACATTCAGAGAGTCTCAGAAGAAATAACTTATCTGAATTCAGAACTCAAAATCAAAAGAAAACATTTTGTTTGATGTGAACATTTTCGGTTAATCAATTCTCGTTCAAAAGAGTGGAATAACTTACTGAATGAGGTAGATAAATGAAGAATACACGATACGAAATCTCCAAAACGCAGCGTCCCATCTTTTCTCATATACCTAAAAGCAAGTAGGGATAATGTTTCTGTATTGACTTGAAAACCTGAAAAAAAGGAACATAAGTTTTTTTCTTCAAGTTTTATTACACAAACTTTTAAAGTAACTAATTCTGCGCACGAATTTACTGAGCATCTCAAAATAATAGAGAAAACATAAAAAGTATAAAAACAAGAGTTTACTTCTTGATTTTATTATATCAAGCTATTGAAAAAGTGCATGCCTGATTTGAAGCCTAATAAAATCAAAAAATTTTATGATAATAAGCATCTCTTGCGTATTTTTTTTATTATTCTCTGTGTAACTTTCTCCAATCATTTTTTCATTTTCGTAAAGAAATTGTATGGTTTTTCGTCAAAATAAGCCATAAGAATGTTTTTGATTTCTTTCACAAAAGGATTTGCTGCCATTAAAAAATCTTTTGTAGAGAGCAAAATTTATGAAAATCTGAAGAAAAAGAAGGTTAAGTGAATACGAAGTTTTTTTTAATCTCCTTAATTCTTTGCAGCGTCAGTTGAACGACAATTAGTGAATATAGTGAAAAAAATATATACATTTTCCATTGGCCAAAAAACATCGACGTTTTGCTTCAATTTCAGCATGAAGTTAATTGCTTATGGCTCAGTTTATTCATGCTATACTGTAATCTTAATGACCGCGCAACAACCAAAATGTTTGAAGTCATAAAATATTGCCCTAATAATCGTTGATAGTCGAAAGATATATTGATTTTTGAAATAAATTTATTTCTTCCTACCACATAATTGCCAAGAAAAATCGAACTGTATAACAGGATAACTATCTTCGTTTAATTGTCTACATTTTATCAGTTATGTAATTCGGCATTACATTGCTTTACATCACAAATGTAAGGAAATATATTAATCTCTCTCCTACCTTTATCTTTGTTGGGCATTTAAAAAAAAAACTTCGCTATATGCATTCATAATTTAAAGAAACATTTTAATTGTTTCGAGCCATTTCACAAGTTTCTATTCTGTTATGAATCATCTGTTTTCAATCGATTAAGTCGGAATTCTTAAATCCTACATTTTAAGGAATGGTTGCAACAAACTCTTGACGCCCGGTGGCTGAGTGGTAGCGTTTCGCCCTCTCGTGCCACAGGTCCTTGGTTCGATCCTTGGGCCGGGCAAGGTTGACTCAGCCTTTCATGAGTACCAAGCATGCTTGGGAACTAAACACTGGGGGTTCCGCGTTTGGCTGACTATCTAACTGAAACACCAGCTTTTGCACCCCTGAGTCCAAAGTCAAGAAAACTGAGATAGACACAGTAGACCTTGGACCTCCATGGGCTATCGAGCCACTGAGTTTATATTAGATGAATCAATATATGTATTTTCTACGGAAATTATATAACTGATAATCAGTTGGATTTCTATTACATAATTTTAATTATTTCTGGATAATTTTAAGCACTAATCATGGATGGGTAACGACTGAACTTTAACCAGCATGATCAAAATTAAAACAGCATTCATTTGAAAATTATAAAAGCAGGGCAATGCAGTTCCTAATAATAAAAGGTAAAATTCTCTATTTGAGATAGAGCAGATTTTACAATTTCATTTAAAAATTAAAATCAATGAATAAAGCTGGTACTATTTCAGGATTTATTACTAAAAGTACTGGCCGAGTACAATAGACTTTCTTGAGACGTACAGATAGAGCGTACAGATAGCCATACTCAACACAAGATTTAACCAACTCTAGCATAAAATATATCATAGATGTGTAGGGATACAATAGTATACATACCGACATCAAATAGTGCATCTCTCAGTTTCTCCGCTCTTAAAACACTCGTTGTCCCTTTGGTGTGATTTCTAAATATTACCTAGAGGTTAAAAAAATTAATTAGAGTATTTAAAAAAAAAATTCTGTTTCGTAAATATGTCCTTTACAAATTTTGGAATGTTTAATTAAATTTAAGAGTAAGATTTTCTCTATCGCGCTATATTTCCTAGATATAAGAAGAATGCAAGTAAAAGCAACCAATGCTCATGCTAATGACGCTGACAACATCATGATGTGAGTTTTACAGTTGAGGAGGTTAAGCCTTGATGATTCTTTAGAATCAACAACTTGTTACTGCAGGAGAGAGCTTTTTTTTTTACAAATTATAACAATGTATACTTGATAACAATGTATATAACATGTTCAAACATAACTAAATCTAACAATAAAAGTATCTGTCAATGTTTTTTTTCTATAACTCGTTTGGAGTCTCGGGCAGTGGTACTTAATCATAAAAAAATCTCCTTAAGAAATACCGCTCAATGGATACAGAGCAATGGCCCTGTGCATTAAAAAAACATCACTGTAGGGAAGAACGGGCAAAGGTAAACCAGGTAGACATAATTAGCTAATTTTTATCCAAATAATTCTGAAATTCTTTTAGAACTGCTACTGTAAATAAACACTGACTTTTTTAACTTAAATTTAAAAAAAATAATAATAAAGATCTGAATTGAATTGTTCTGCGTCGCTTAATTGGTTGCAAGGACTTATCGTTGTTGCACGTGTGCTAACTTTTGTGAAAATATACAGTGAGTAATTTTAAACATCTTGAAATTGAAATGCCGTTCGGACGAATGAGAATACGTAGGCTTAAAATATGTAAGCATTCTTATTTATGTTTACATATGAATGTAAACATTAATAAGAATATATTTTTTTTACATAATTAATATGCCAGAAAAATCAATATGTTTACAATTAGTATATTGTAAGTAATAATAATCAAATAAATAAAACTAGGAGGCTTCGCCCCCTGCTCGCTGGCGCTTGCCAACCCCTGGAACTGCTTTCGCAGTTCATTTCGGATGGCTTCGCAATCCGATGCTCGCTTTCCTCGCTCATTGGATACGTTCTTAACGTCTAGCTTTTGTATACTTTTTTAAACACTGAAGTTCCGAAAACTTTTCACTGTAGAAAATTCTAAACCTGTGCATTTCAATATTAATTTGAAATTGCAAACAGTTCACATATTTTTCGTAATCACATTATTCTAAATTTCAGTTGTTGAGAAAAGTAACAGTTGTAAGTTTTGTTTTAAAGTCTTTCCCACCAGAGGTCTAAGACCATGTGTTGTAAAACAATATGAAATAGTACTGAACGCCGGATGTAAAGCATCAGCTTCGATGAAGATAATTTTGTGAGAATTTTTTTGATAATTCGGTGAGAATTCACCCAGCCAACCATATGATACTCACTACGTGCTATTCCCCGCCGAAGTCTATCAATTAAAACGTATTAGCGTTTTATATAAAATAGATTAGCCATATAATGCTCACTACGTGCTCTTGCGCGCCGAAGCCTATCAATTAAAAATAAAAACTGTTGCCTACGCGAGAAAAGAAATATCATCGGTTTTATTGATACATACGTACGTATTAGCGTTTTATATAATATAGATTAGCCATATGATGCTCACTACGTGCTCTTGCGCGCCGAATCCAATCAATTAAAAATGAAAACTGTTGCCAGCGCGAGAAAAGAAATATCATCGGTTTTATTGATACATACATACGTACGTATTAGCGTTTTATATAATATAGATAGATAATTCGTGACTGTTAAATACAGTATTTACTTAGTTAGTATTATGCCAGTCTGTGAATTTGTGATGATGTTATGATGCTGTTTCCATGACAGCGCCAATTTGAAACAATGAAAATCTACATTTTTCAGGATTGCATGAGAATGACTTAACGTAGAGGGATTTAAAATATCGCAAAATGATCCAAAAATTTTCCAAAATCTGTATCAAAAAACGCCCTACTAATCGTTAAAGCCATACAAAGATATATAAAGGAAAAAACAACGAAATTTAGTATTTTTTATAGTGCGTCCCAGCTGCCCTTAAAATGATGATTGCTTGCAAACCATCCATAAAAATTTGCAAACTGTCGACAGAAACACGAACCAAATCGGTGATCCCGTTCTCGAGTTGTTAACGAATAATCATACACACAGATTTTAGCTTTTATGTACCTGTAAGGTATACAAATTTTTGCAATATTTTTAATTATGTAACTTGAAATGACTAATTCCCAAAATTGACAGAAATCGATCGGATAGTTATTGAGAAATTATTTTTAAATATAAAGTTTTAGAAATTCAGGAACTATTGTATATACATATATTGTCAGAATATTTAACTTAATATGTGGAAAAATATTACACGTTAGCAGTTTTGCACGTGATGTGTAGAAAAATAATGAAACTCACCTGCCAGTGTTTAAGACTACACATCAAGTTCTTGTAGTCAGAAAATCTAATTCTTCCATTTCCAGTTGTCTGAAATGCTTCTTAAGGTTTCATACATACATTGACAATCAGCAAGTTTTAGCAATATTATAAAAAAATAGTAAAATATAATTTATTAGTCTGTGCAAAAATTGCACACGCAGAAAAAATTCAATGTTACCTGTAAAACAATTTATATTTTAAATATTAACTTTGTATATTATTATATATATATTCCAAGCTTCAAAATGATCTGGGTCGATCCTCGTTAAGACTAAAACTATTAGCATGAATATTTCGCTTAAGACGAAGAAAATCAATTTTCCCATCACGATAGTTTGGAAAACAAAAATAATTGCATTGTTTAGTTTAAAGATTTAAAAAAAAAAAACCCGCTTAAGACAAAGTAAGTATTACACCTATACATCGCTGTTCCTTACTCAGTGACCTACTTGAAGCAAATTAATCGCTTTTTTTTTAAGTCTAAATGAGTGAGGACTACGCATTTGTTCTTTGAATCGAGATGGTCGCTCTCCGTTAGTATATATCAATTTGCAATTTTTACCTCACCGATTGGACATGTGAGGGGGTTTTGACGTCCGGGTGAGTGGAGCTGACTTAGGTGGCGATTCTGACGAAAGTGTAAAGATTTACTTTCTTTTGCAACTAATAGTGATATTCTTTTGTGAGCGTTTCAGTTAGTTACTGACATGTAGATAATTTTCTTAACACTAGTAGAAAACAAGTATGAAAAAATTTATCTTTGTCTGGAAAACAAGAAGATTTCATGTGCTGTTAGTGTTTGAACTAATAAAAAATCAGCAATCGCAAAGTATGGAATTGATAAGATTCGAGAACAAATTGAAATGGCTTGATGTGAAAAAGATAGAGACTATTGTGTAGGTTATTTCGTGTCTTTCAATGAAGTAACAGCTGCTTTAAAACTGTTCGGTTGCTTCTATTTCTTCTAGGGGAAAAAAAGAAGAAAGAAATGCTTTGAGCAACTGGGAAAAATGTGATTTTTTTTTTTACAAAGAAATGGAATACATAATCTTTTTAAAGTCTAACTTAAAGAGGTAAAATTATTTTTAAATTTTACTTACCATTTATTATATTTAGTTCTCAACAGAAATCATTTAAATTCTTTGATAAATTTGCTTTAATGATTTGTTTTATATAATCGACCTTTATGCCTATTGCTGTTTTGCAGGTTTCTCCGAAAAAGAATTTTGCTTCTTCTCGACTTCGTATTAACGAAGTTCGCCTGTATATTACTCAGTACTTTATTAATATTCGAATTTTGCTGACCTGGTTGAAATTTTCATGTAATTTCTCATACTTATGCGCTTGACCTATTCAAAACAGTTATTTTTAAATAATTTTATAGAAATGAAACATAACTATGAATAAAAATAAAGGATACATCTAATGCTAAAACAACTTGACGGCAGACTTCTAATGTGGCACAGCTTTTCACATAATCTGTAAAACGAATGAGATACAAAATTAACTTTCGTGTTGGCAAAAATTAAACAATTAAGCTCAAGTACTGAGGCATAAAAATTGCAATTCATACAATTAGTTTACGTGCACCTCATTTGAAGACACTCTGTGTACAGATGTTATAGTTTAAAATTGTTTCGGTTATTTTAAAGACCATGATCAAGTCACTCTGAAATTACTTCAATTTATTTCAGTGTAAATTCTGCCACACTATAATTTACGTTAAAATAAATGAAAAAACAAAGAATACAATTTATGGATGAAGCTTAAGTAAACTTAATATTTTTGAGAAACTTATAAAGCAGAATTGGGATGTAATGTCTAACATATCTAAACAAAAATCATTTACACCAATATTTAATTATTATTTAATAAAAATGAAGAGGACTTGACTACAAAAACAATTAAAAAATCTTAATTATTCAAAAAAGAACAAATAATTTACCTATTTACGCTTATAAAATGATACACAACTTTTTTAATATACATCCAACCAATAGAGCTGAAACATATCAGTGACCCTTTAGCAATCCATCAACTGTTTTCCCCTAACAAAAACAAACATTCCCCCATTCATTCTTTTTAGTGTTCGGAATCAATTGATTAATTGATGCACTATTGAAAACCGTGTATAATAAAACATATTCAAGTGACGTCAGCCCAGGCCTAATTACAACGACCAAATCCAGTGTATATATAAAAAAAGAACTGGGTACCAATTTAGATCTCATTAATTTTTTAATCTGATTGCTTGGTTGCGTACTAATGTTTCGAAGTAGCGACCGGTAAGATGCAAAACAGTGTACAAAGTATTAAAATGTGATGAATCGTGAGTAAAACGTTGCAATCGTTGCACTTGGGAGGAGGCTCTCCAAATAGCAAATGAAGGTGTGTAAGTCGAGTATGTCCTACTCGCAAGCGGGTGAGTTTGACATCTGTCCTGCGCATGTGCAGTGCAGGCCAAGGCTCCAAAGTAGGTTTAACAGAATGTAATTTGTTTTCGCCTTGCAGGTCCCAGTGTTGCTGCCATAAACACTGAAAAAGTTTGCGAATGTGGTTTTTTAAATCAGAAAATGGGACAGATAATGTTATTGGAGAAGAGGCAGATCGTGCAGCAGAATCAGCTTTGTCATTTCCTTTAATACCTACATGACTGGGAATCCAGCAAAATAAAATTTTAAAACCCTTCTTGTATAGAGAAGTCAATATATGTTGAATAAAAATTAAAATTGGATGAGCTTCGTTTCTCACATGTTCTAACTGTCTTAAAACACTCAAACTATCCAAGTATATACAAAATTTTCTAGCCGAATGCGAAGAAATGAGTCTTAAAGCTAAAAGGATAGCAAATGCTTCCGCTGTAAAAACAGAGCAAATTACAGGAATGTCGTAGCTGTAAGTAATATTAGCCACAACAATCCCACAACCAACATGTCCAGGGGAACTTAGATCCATCTGTAAAAACTGCTATGTATTGTATATACTGATGACGATGGAAAGTGAACAGCTGTTGAAAAATGCTAGGTGAGACATTAGATTTACTGTATGAGACAAATGAACAATCAAGATAATATGATGAAATAGTCCATGGTTGGATGAGAAAGTAATTTACAGATTGTGATGGCATATCACAAAAATCCAAAGTCTGAATGAGTGATCGCATGCGAGAGTTAAAAGGTGGTATATATGAGGGTCGTGCATCATATAATTCAATAAATAAATTCAATAGCAAGATTCTTAGTGCACACAATGAGGCATCCTACGAAAAAATTAATAACCCACATTACATGAAACTTCCACCTCACATCAAGCAACTAATCTCTCACAGAAATAACATACGTAAACACTGGAGAAGATCTCTTGATCCCCACTTAAAAAACCTTATAAATAACATTAATAAAAATATCAAAAAACTATGCCAAGAGCACAGAAATGAATCTTGGTCAAATAAACTTGAAACTCTGAACACAGAGGACCACTCCCTATACAAACTCACAAAAAATTTTAAAACAGATAAAACTATTAATAAACCAATACATGGAAAAAACGGACTAGTGTTTTCGGCCCTTGAAAAGGCCGAAGCTTCCGCTGACTCCATGGAGGAACAGTTTACTGAAAACACTAACAATATAGATGAGGACTTTGAAGAAATAATATTAAGAGAAAACAGACAATATTTTAATACTACCTCACCAAACGATGGCCTTAGCCATACAAATAGCAATGAAACTTTCATGATTATTAAAAAACTAAAGCAAAACAAAGCACCTGGAGGTGATAAAATCACTAATAAAATGATAAAGGCCATTCCTGATAATTATATAACCGAACTAGTAAATATCTTTAACTACTGTATTTCCAATTGCTACTTTCCAGAGCAATGGAAAGAAGCTACTATTATCTTATTCCCAAAGCCCCTTAAAGACCCAGTAATGCCCCATAACCACAGGCCAATTAGTCTCCGACCAACTATTAGTAAAATTTTTGAGAGAATCATTTACAACAGACTTAAAGACAAACTTAATATTCTGCCAGATGAACAATTTGGGTTCAGAAATGAGCTCAACACCACGAAACAACTAACTCGTATAATTGAATTCATAGGCCAAGGCCTCCACAACAAACAAAAATCAGCTTTCCTCATGTTAGACGTCACAAAAGCCTTTGACAGAGTATGGCACGCTGGCCTGCTTAATAAACACATTAAACTAAATTCTGACCTAATCCTTTTACTTAAATCATACCTACACAATAGATGCTTTAAAATAAGTGCAGGAGTCCCCCAGGGAAGTATCCTTGGACCAATTCTGTATCTTTTCTACACACATGACTTCCCAATTGATAAAACTGATTTTAATAGCCTAACGGCATTCTTTGCGGATGACACGGGCATCATAGTTAAATCGAAATCCATCCCAAACGCAATTAGCAAGCTCCAAGAAAAAATCTATAAATACGAAGAGTGGTGCACTCAATGGAAAATTGAGATTAACGCACAGAAATCAAACCTGCTACTTATTAAAAAACCACGCAACTTGCAAATAAACAAAAAATTAACATTCTTCAATAACGATATCCCCATTGTAAACAAGGCTACCTATTTGGGCCTTACAATTAACAAAGACCTGAATTGGCAGGACCACATCAAAACAGCCGTAGCCAAAGCATTAAACATTTATAATAAATTAAAGCCCTTATTAGGACCTCGTTCCAAACTCTCACTTAAAAATAAAAGATATATCTACATCACCTATATTCGACGTATAGTTACATATGCATCACCCGCATGGTGTAGCATTAACAATGCTCAAATTAAAAAACTTAATACTTTTCAAAACAAAATCCTAAGAAAACTTAGCGGGGTTCCTTTTTATATCCGCAATAATGCTATTCACAATGACTTCAATTTAAAAACTATGACAGAAACCCTTACTCTCCTCAATATAAAATTCTATAATAAAGCTATTAATTGCAATGCTGCGAACTATAACACTATTTTTAACTCCGAAATGTTGATTGAAGATTCTAAAGTTAGACCACTGGCCCACTTCTTTACAAGTGACGCCATACTATCAAGTAAATTTAATTATTCTTAAAGACATTGTAAGTTAATATTAATCGGCCTTTTTAAGGGCCAAAAAACCCTTTAAATCATCTTTCTCAAAAGGCCCTAAAAAGGGCCACAAATCTTCACATTAGTTCCTCAAGCATCCGCTAACTTTGATAGGCGCAACCAGCGCCAAATTACCAACACAACCCACAGGGCACTAGCCCCGCCCACTACGATAGCATATAGTCCAATCATATCAATCCAATAGAATCAAGATCTTAAAAGCTTTCTTGCCCTTCTCTTCTAGCACCCAACTCATGATGCTAATAATTCATGATAGCAACTCATATGGAAAGTAAAAGGCCCCGAAGGCCTTGTTAAATTCGCGACGACGACGACGACGATAATCGTTGTAAACTTAGTGGAATAATCTCACGTCGAAGAGGGTTCGATGAAGATGACAGGACGCGAAAGTAAAATGTCAAAGAGAGCTGCATGCGTCTGAAATTGAGAGAAGGTTGATGACACACAGCATATAAACTCTCAACAGGAGAAGTGCGAAATGCTCCACTGCATATGCGTAACGCCGTATGATGCACCGTATCTAGACGTTTTAAGTTAGATGCAGAAGCCGTTCCATAAACTGTGCATGCATAGTCAATGCGCGACAGTATAAGTGCTTGATAAATTCGCAATAGCGCGGTACGGTCAGCACCCCAAAACGTGTTAGAACCTTTCAATGAGGTGATCCAGGTTCGAATCGAAGCTATGGCTGGTAGATACGAATTCTACACCCGGCTCGCACCGACTTTAGTGATAGTGTATAATTCCCTCAGCGGTAGACTAAACATGGAATAGAATTCCCTTGTCTTCTGGGTTTTGTTCAAAATTAAAAAGCTACAGAGTTGAACATTGATAATTTTTAACTCAAAAATGTCTCCGCTGTTCAACAAGGTTATAAAAAAATTCCAGCTTAAGCAACTTGGGCTGTTAACTATTAAAAGAAGGTAATTATATTTTAGTCATATATGAGTTGCGTACTAATGAAAATTGTAGTAATGTGCTGCGTACTAATAAATACATTATCTCTTAAGACGATCTTTTTAACCAGATGAAACTTAATTTTTCTTTAAATTATTATCATATTGGCAAATTGTAAAAATCTCCTATGAAAATTGGAGGAATATAATGTTAAAGTTAATTTTTTTATTATGTCACTTTATTATTTTTATTTTAATAAAACGCCTTTTTTTGTTTTCTCTGTGTGCTAATTTCTATAAGAAGCTTTAAAATATTTAAGACATATCACTCGTTTCTAAGAGATTTTAAGTATTACGTATTTCACTTAAGTATCGTTTCTCATTTAGATGTTTCCAAGAGTTTCACACTAAAAAAAAGTTTTTGAGAACTATTTCTTTTCTCAGAACTTGCAAAGAAAATATTTTCTGCTCAATTAGAAAAGAATTTGTTGAGCAGTTTATTGATGGGAATTTTCTAAACGCATCAGGAAAAGTGTCTACGAGATGTTTCTGTGACATAATGACATGTTTCTGTTATCATCTATTTACGATATTTATCAATCGAAATAAAATTTTGCACTATTTATATTTCAACACAATTAAAAAAAAAGGATTTGTAAAAGTTTTTACCTTAACTTATGCACAACTTATTTATGATAATAATAGTCTTTATGATGAACCCAAAATATGCAGAAACTGTCAATTACCAAACAAGCTGCCTAGGGCGACCAGCTAGTTCGCTTACACGAACTCACCACTTCACAGTTTCACATTGTTTTCCGCGTTCACGAAGTGGCCGCTTCGCGACTCCACATTGATTCTGCTGCATTAGGGTGTATTTATATTTGCATTGATACTTTGACATGAAGAGAAAGTAGTACTGGTTTTATTTTAAAAGTGTAATTTTTATATAAGTGTTCATTGCTGTGATATTTGCATCAAATGAACACGGTTATAGCGGGAGTATATAATGCAACCTGTTCTCTGCGACCCTCTGAAATAAATTTTCTGCTTAAAAGATCAAAATATTTCTCCATGCACTTTGAATAGAAGTAAACGGTAATATCAAGAAGAATCAACCGATAATAACGTGAAATATTGACGAATGAGAATATCGAAAAATACTGGAAAACGATAATATCGAAAAATACTAACAAATGATAATAATGAAGCTGATGATAATATCGTGATAGGATATGATAATATCGTGCTATAATATGATGATATCGTGATATGATGTGATACAAATGATAATATCGCGAGTAAAACCCTTTTCGTGAAGTTAGAAGAAAACCTTTTATTACACTAGTATTTCACAGTTCAAGGAAATCGGCAACTTACACCGAAGAGCCATTACATTAAGACCACCCTGCCAATAGCATGTAGGACCACCTTTAACCCTCAAAACTGCTATTCTCCGCCGTGGCATTGATTCCACAAGGTGCTGATAGGTAGTCTGAGGTATCTAGTACCAAGCGCTCACCAACTGGTCCTACAATTCCCTCACATTGCACAGGAGGTAGCGTGGCACCACAAATGCTCTATTGGATTAAAGTCAGGTGAATTTGGGGGCCAAGACATGACTTGAAAGTCATTGGAATGTTCCTCGACGATTCGACCCTTATGACATGGTGCACTATCCTGTTGGTAAACACCATCCCCTGCAGGAAAAACTGTTGCCATGAATGAGTGAACCTGGTCTGCAACTATGTTCAAGTAGCTTACACACGTCAGGTATTGTTCTATGAGGATGATGGGTCCTAATGCGCTCCATGAAAACATTGTTCCTGGGCGAGAAACCATGAAAACCTGGGCGCGCCCATTGTTATAGATGGAGGGTGGTCATAATGTAATGGCTCTTCAGTGTAGTTGTTGAGATCTGCTATGCTTAATGCTGTTTCACTTAAGGAAGTAAGCTGTAAAATAAGTGTATTGGTGGATATATCTGTTCCGAAATATTTAGGCCAAAATAAAGAAAATTGATTTTGTATGAATATTCGAAAATAAGCTGTCGGGAAAAAAACACTGTACCACCAATTAACAGCAAAATCTTCTGCTAATAGTAAAATTTTGTTATATTTTGGATTGCTGGCTGATAAAAATAGGAAAAATTAAAATCAAACCATTGTCCAATATACAAAAATATGTAAATAAGTTATATTGAACTATATCGTGAAATATCGATATTTTCTGGTAATATATCGCGATTATAACAATAGCCCAGCACTAGTGCTAACACTAGTAATACATCCCCCGAAAGATGTATAAGTCTCATTTCAACGATAGAAATGCTTGCCGATTGAATTAGACATTTTTAATTTTTGTTTAAAAATTAGTTAAAAATTGTATAATTATTTGACTTTCCTTTTCTCGTGTCTAAAATGAAAACGGAAAGTTCATTGCATTTCTTTTTCTAAATTCGAAGTTAATATGCTGTAGATCCACGGATGTAATAATTGAAACATTTCGAAATAGAGGGAGAAAGTGGGCTTCTCAAATTGTTTTTTAAAAATATTAAAAATCGTCTTAAGAAAAAATAAAATTATTCATTTTGAAGGAAAAGTCTAAGCATGAGATGGTAAAATACTAAACGTTCCACTTAAACCCGATAGGCATCAAAATGCAGGAATATCGAAGGAAAAAAAACAAGCATCTGTACTACACCTGAAAATTATCATAATTTAATATCTAATAAAAAAAAAATCGAGAGTCGAGCTTTGTAATTTACTTTGATTTCTCACTTAGCTTTATGTGGAATGTCGTATTTTTAGTGCCTACGATGTACTAGCAATCCGGTATGCAGATATGTACACCCACATATTCTTTATTTTATTATTTGTATAGATAAATATGGCTCATATAAATAATTATTTAAAAAACAGAATAAAAATAAAAGTTTTAGATTACATACCATTTGGCAAACAAACTTCTAAAACATCCTGAAGCTCGAAAGCATTTGTTGTCTTATGCTGAAAATTGAATTTTATTTCTATCACATCAATTTCATAATTATATAATTTATTAAAAGAAATAAAATTTACCTCATCTGAGAGTTGCAAAAATACTCCTTCGTAGGAATTAATTTTCGTGTCAATCGAGGGGGAGGCCTGAAAGAAAAAATCGTCACACAGCAATAATATAATTTTAAACGATAATAAAGGAATGAGAAAAGTAGTATACCACTATACCAGGGTATTTACAGTGAGTAATTACTGTAAAATATGTGAAGGGTAGAGTATTGCCGATATGGTAAAAATATTATAGTAATTCAGAGGCATATAGTGGTGATCGTCCTTAGTATATGTTTAGAATTTTTAACTTAACAAGTAAAAGAGCGCAATATATGCATATACACTACTCATATTAAGCTTCGCTAATAAATATTTAAAAGAAATAAAATAATAATGTTTACAGACTCATTCATTATTAGCGAGGAGCCGTGATGACTTAGGGGATAGAGCGTTCGCCTTCCAATGAGGTGAACCGGGTTCGAATCGCAGTGATGGCTGTTGGATACGAATAAGTATCCGGCTTGCTACGACCACAGTGCTGACATGAAATATCCTTAGTGGTAGACGGATCATGGGGCAGCGTTTCTTTCCGTCAGGTTAACAGTGGGAAGTTCTCGTTGTCTTTCTCTCCATGTAACGCAAATGCGGGTTAGTTCCATCAAAAAGCCCTCCACGAAGACAAATTTCTCCCAATACTTGATCCAGGAGTTCCCTTGTATTCTGGATTGGGTTCAAAATTACAAGGCTACGGAGTTGAACATTAGTAGTTGTAAAACCAAAAATTAGGTTGGCTGTTCAACGACCGTTATAAAATAAAATAAAATCATTATCGAGATCAGAAAAGATATCGAAGGAACTAAAATCATTATATACCAGTTTAATTTTTTTTATTAGGAAGTACTTTTAACTCTTTTTTAAATAAATTGATTTCCGATGATTTAAAACCACGCTCTTGTCCTTTTGATCTAAATAATGATAAATCAATTTTTTGAGAGAATTCTGCACCTTTTTGCTTACACTAATAGTTTCCTGACTTCCCTTTTACACAAAAATTCTAAGAATTATATATTAAGATAAGTTATGGAGAGACGCCATGTATTGTAGTTTCATAAATAGTTTACTATAACAGGTGTTTTAAAATTAATGCATCTAATAGATCGCTTCTTACAAATAAAAATAGTTTAAAGTAGCACATAAATTTAAGTTTAAAATTAGAAGTTAAAAGTAGTACGAAAGAAATAAGCGTATTGTTAGTCATTTACCTTTACAATAGCTGGCTTTAATACAGCTGGATTACAATCTAGAAGTCTGAAGAAGAAAAAAATATTGCATGAAAGAAAATTATGACAAAAGAAAAGCTATCTCAAATGAAATTATAACTAATAATTCAAAACATAAAATTTACTTAAGTTTCAAAGGTTTATTAGATATAACTCGAATGGTAAAATTAGCTTCTTCTCCTGGATCAAATGTTGTAGGTAGAATGAGGTAGCTTCCTTGCTCAAAATGCACCCTTCCCGATACCTAAAAAGGGAACAAAATACTTATTTTTAATAAATATTTTAAATTTAAAAGCATAATGTTTCTTCGTAATAAAATTAAAGTTCAACATAAGCGTATTTTTTCATGTAGATGAGACAGACATGTACTTGTTTGTTTTTTTCATCAACAGACGAGATTGAGTTCCCGCATTCAAAGAATTTGAACTCTCTAGTGTAACCATCAAGCACTTTAGAGATGAGTTGAAAGATCAAACACTTACATGCAACATAATCTTTACATACAAAACATTTTAGAGATCAGGAATTTCTGTTTTAAAAAATTTCTTTGCTTTTCCTCTTTTTAATTTAACTAATATGGGGTGCAACGTAGATCTATCTTCTTGTTGGTGCACCCCGAGCAACATCCGTTACAGCCAAATCGTTTGCAGCTATCAGCAGTTTCTTTAGCACGGAATGGGATAACTGCAAGTGATGTAGTGTAGGTATCTCGATCCTGATTGGTTATTGAAACGTGGCGTTTGTTTACGTTAGCATCTGTTATATCCATTCTATTTCGAGTTAGCCAAGCCCGACAAGCACAAATTCTCTTAAATGACACATACGATATTAATTTCTTTCAAAACGATATTAATTTCTTTCACAAAGATTTCAATTCTTTCACAAAGATTTCAATTCTTTCACAATATATTTGCACAAATACTTAACACAAAGAAAGGCACAAAGACATGTAGAACATAAACTAATTATGAATCAAAGTTGCCAGGTACACAAAACAAAAATATATCACGGTTATAATAAAATACATATACAAATAATAAATCTAAGTTAAACAAAAGAAGTAGACGAGTAAGAATTATATTTCAACTAATTCGATGTGCGATACGGCTCTGGAATTTAATTAACTTATCGTTTATTAGCATTCTAACTTATGAAGGGAAACTTAGCTATGCTTTGTCCCTTAACACTGAAATTTATAATTTTATCTATATATATAGAATCGTAATGAATATAAATGGAATGAAATGTTATTAAATCAAAAGTTTCACAGGATGTGAAAAATTCCATTTACTTACATTAACGTAATAGACATTAATGTTTTATGCAATAAGGCTGGGATTTGACCCCTTAGTCTTATATAAAACACTAATGCGTTTGTATGTATATAGTTAAAAAACAAATTGAATATGTATATTTTTCGTTAGCAAGAAGGAACTTAAAACTGAAATAATAAGCGAGTAAGCAGTCCTTAACATTGAAAGAAAACAACATCTACTAAAGAATACAATACCAACATCTAATCTAAGAGGAAAATCACTTCTATTAAGACATGCATTTGCATTTACTATAAATGAAGCTTTTTAGTAATGTTTTGCTAATATGGCGTGACTGTTTAATTCATTATTTAATTTCACTTGATTTCTACAAACACATAAATTAACAATTGGATGTGATTTCATCGTAGCAATGCCGGGAGCATCGTAGCATCGTTTCCTGCAAGTGATTTCATCGTAGGTAAATAGAGGCATTTGTCGATTCAAAAGCAAATAGGGTTCGAAAAACACGCTTGACGTCACTTACAGGTATCCAATTAAGTCGCATTTAAATCACATGACTAGGCACAATCACTTCACTTCTTCTCGAGTTGGTAGCACTCAATTGTGTTTGTAATTTTTCAGAATAGTCCACATTAATTCTATTCATGTTGAATGTCGTTGCTTAAATTATTATCACATTTTAATCATTATTTTTAATACCTTTATATCATTATTTCAACTTTTTATTCGGTTTAAGAGAAATGTTAGTACTATTCTATTTTTTGGGGCCGTTAAAAAATAATAGCTAAATTATTCAAGTCATTAATTTATATGATAATAGTTACAAGGGGAATTGATGTAGGAAGTACCTAACTTTATGTGAAATTCTAATATAGATTTTGTGGTAATATGTTACTTTTACGGTCCGATGAAACGTAATAGTACTGAAATGTATATAAATTAAATGTTTCACATTTTATGTTTGTTTCCTCCCAGGTAGAAGCGTGAGATTGATTTTAACGTCAGCAACAACCATTATCACAAAGCCCAACAGGGTTTATAAATGATTACCAAATAAAGCATGCAAGTTTGGAACAATGTTTAATTTAACTATGCTGGTTCATGCACTATGAGGTTTACATTAAGCTTGCAAAAACAACCCTTTTAAATCAAGATTATATCTGCATTTACGAAACAAGGCTAGAAAAAGTTTCTGGAATCGTGGATGAATTATCATTCGCAAATCAAGAGTAAAAAGCATTCTCAAACCGATGATAAATTCACCTTCTATAGGTTTATTTTATACTTTATAACCAACATTGAAACAAAGTTTATTTGCACTGGCTTTTGAATATATTTTTAACACTTCAAAAGTAGGTTGGCTGATCATTAAGTTTTCAACACAAATGATGCATTTGAAAGCCTGGACAAAGCTTGAATCAAAAAAAAAAAAGACAAAAACAAAGTTTACAGTAAAAGGTAAAACATGAGATTATGAGGTCTTTTTCTTTCTGTAAAGTTATTTGCATGATTTTCAATCTTTAAGGAAACAAGCTTGACATACTATTATTTCTACTAGGTTTAAAAAAGGAACTTTTTATGACAACTAAATGAAAATGAAAATACAACGTTTGCCGTAAGGTTGCCTTCTCTCTGGGATATTATTAGATCTTTATTTTAAAAAGAGTACCAAGCAAAACTGAAATATAATTTTAAGCGAGCAAAACAATCCTTAAGGAACGGAGATAATAATAAATAATTTACATGCAGATCAAATGGTGAATAGTCTATTCAAGTGTTTTTATTGTTTATAAAGTTCTTTATGTGTCATAGTTTTAAAGTAAAGTTGAACTCACCTGTCGGCTATTACTATATGCAGAACTATAAATGGATTTAGTCTTCTTGAAGAACGTTTTTTCCATTATTTCTGTTGACAAGCTTTTACTCATCTGCATGAATAAATAAAAGAACACTGAATCAAACTTTGGATGACACTTCAATTATTCATTCATATTGAGTGTTCCTTATTATCTGCCTTTTATCTATATTTTTTAAACTCCTGCCAAAAATGTTGTAAAAAAAGTCGGCTATTTAGAAGCTTTAAACTATATTTAAGTGAAGAGAACTTCTATTTATACTGGGTGTCCCATGCTAACCACCATTAATATATATTTTTAAAACTTTTATTAAATAATAAATGAGGGGATGGAGAGCTTACCTCTCAATGAGATGACACGGGTTCAAATCCCAGCAATGGCTGGTAACATGAATTCTACACCTGATTCATACCGTTTATGGTTTAATTGAAAATTACAAGGCTAAGGAGCTACATAAACTTAGAATTGAATCGGCTGTTCAATGCCGGTTATGAAACATAAAATTTATTTCATGTGGAACTATTTTTATGTGTTTTAATGTTTAATTATTTTTTATTCGTTATTCCATGTAAAATCAAGGATCAAGAATTAATATTTCTGAAGTTATATAAAACCATGTATTTATTTCTTAGATACGCTTTTGAGAAGTTTTTCTGTAAGATTAGATAATTTAAAACGATAGTTTAAATGGAAAAAAAATATGTTGTGTTCTTATGAGCAAAATTAAAGGTTTCAAAGGGGTCATAAAAAATTGCAAATTAATCTTAACTGATTTTAGTAATAACTATTAAAGGTATTGTGGTCTTAATAAGTAGTTTAATATGGTTTTCATGGCTATGAAGTGTTGTTTTAGTAAGTAACAAATACACTAATATAAGTTTTTAACGTAGGTACTGTAGTAATAGATTTTGTCAAGTTTCAGAAGGGATTATAGTTGCAGAGAAAATTGCTTGATTTTGGAAAATTTTGACTATCAAGCAGATATTTAGCAATAGCTGCATGCTAAATTATACTAAATGATCTTTATTTTGATGGGAACGCGTTTTGCTGAATCTAACAACGTAAAGACAGGAGAAGTGCAGCGTATACTAATACATAAAAGCGATTTCGGAATTATGTTAGCTTTGTTAATTGTATTAAAGTTATTTAGATTTTCAGAATCGGTAGAAGGCTCAATCATAAACAAAATAAACTCGTAATTTTAGAAATTTTTCTAATACAAATTGTGTGACGTAACCCCAACGTAATTTTATCTCTGCATATATGACACAATCGATTTGACATAAACGTGCAATGAAATCGAACCCTGTGCCTTCCTAGCAGAGAAGTAACGCCGTTCTGCCAAACTCTCTGTAGCGTAAAGGTAAAGGGTTTGAATCCCACACTACCAATGGATGTATCTTTGTGTTGATCTTCTCTAACTTGGGCTGTGTACTCCTTAACTTGACTAGGGTTAATACGTTGTTCTTTGCACTGAGCTCACAATCCTGACTGAAAATAAACTTGAACCTGCTTTTATTCAAAACAGAACTGTAAGCTAGCAAATACCACTCATATTGTCTTTTAAATCAGAAATCGTGGTTTAACAGAATAGTTTTTTTACAATGAGTTATAGTAAACTGCAGATGAAAAAAAAATTCTTAGACCTACTCCTCCAAACATAATAATTGAAATTTTTAAATTATTTTTCAAATCATTGATTAACACTTTTCTTTTCATTATTGTGAATTAAGTCATAATACGGTAATTTTTTCGTTTATAGGGTGGTGTTACATTTTAGGATATACACTAGATGATGTAAATTTTGAAATTTTCCTGACTTCTAATTCAACTTACTGGGAAAACTGCGAAACCTATTACTTTTGGCTCCAGAATGCTATGCTGACTTAAAGAAATTAAAACCTCTTCAGCTTCCGGAAGAACTATTTGGAATTGAGGATTGATGTGAAACGAATCTGAAGACAAAAAAAAGATAGTAAATTCTATTACAATTTTTTCTAAAAATAACATCGTATAATAACATACATTACATATTAATATCATGTATTAAAAATATCATGTATTAAAAATATCATGTATTAAAAACATCATCTATTAATAATACCTAGTTTTACACACATATTTTATAATATTTTAATTATATATACTGTAAAAAATTCCAGATCAACTTAGAATATAAAGTATCGGCTCATTGGGTGCATCATGCTTAAAACCCATTAAACCACAAAATCTATTTTTACCGTAAATATTATACCGAAATTTTTACAGTAACATTTATTTTATTAGAGTGGAGTTGTGAATTTACCGTAATTATTACTGTTAAAATTATGGTATATCAGATTTTTTGTTTCATAACTTGTTCCGGTAAAAATAGATTTTACCGTAATTTGATCCGGAACTTTTTACAGTATAAGTAGAAACATTTTCGGTTATTCCAGAGAAAATTCCACCAAACACTTATTTAATTAGCATTTGTTTCTTGCTTTAATGACGATTACGCTTTAAGACTCCTTACACACATGACCAAACCATAAGACAAAATGGCTATCACATAACACTAGAAAATACTCATAAATCGAATTAAATTATTTATCATGTTTGTGTTGCTTTGTAACCTTATCATAAAATTAAGAAAGTTTTAAAAAAATGCTTTACCTAGATTATTCCGGCATCCCCCGGCACTCACACCCCTCTGCCACTGTCCATGCCACACTTTCATTTGCCAAGAGATTTTGGACCTCAATGTTGGTTCATCTTTGCTAGTTTCTGCGTCCAGGTGAACTGCTTCCACGCAGGTAAACGTCTTCACAAAATCTTGATAAGTCATCCTGTTGTGAAAAAGTTGACGATGAATTATAGGTTTCGATATCTAATCAAATCAATGCCAATTTCAAACTAAATGCATTGAAATATGCTATATTTAAAAGAGGAAAACTATCACTGAAAGGGACGGAAGTATTGTCTTTTCGGTGCATTTGATGTCAAAATTTTATTTTTAATCAATAATGTAGTCACCCTTGTTAGCAGCAACCTTTCAATGCCGGATTGGAAATGGGTAAAAAAAAAAATGAATTGGTTTTTAAGCCTAACGAATATTTAATGCACCGATACGACATTACTTTCCCCCCCCCCCTGATATTTGACAGAACATAAATTCTCTTCTTACAAACGAAATAAGTATACAGTAATAAAAAGCTCACATGCACTGTACTTAGTGTATTTTTTTTTTAATTTTAATGTAAAAAAAATCATAGGTCCTGCTGAGAAAGTAGTACCATAAATTTTTGACAGTACGTATCCCATAGTGGTGTTTTTATTAAAAGGAAAGTGTATATATCGTGAGTAGATTCTGTAGATAAGACTAGAATTAAGCTCTGTTGAAATTTTTGTTCTTTTAAAAGTTCTTTTTGATTTTTTGAAAGACTTGATCTTGTTTGGTTCATGTTCATAGTTATATAATTATCTACGAGGCGCGTTTTTTTAAGTAAGGACTGTTTTGTTGTGTATGCTGATAGGTGGAGCGAACGTCGCAATGAGTGCTCGCGTCGCAATGAGTGTCCCGGGAACAACTGTGCTGTGTTGCAGCTGTGAAGGTAGCCTGTACGGTCAGTTCCGTGCCTTTAAAATGTTTAAGAGTATTGAATCGTGCAAGGCACGATCAGTGATGCATTTTTTTTTCTTTTTTTTTTCTTTTTTTCGTAGGCAAAAAAAAAACCTGTCTGATGCAAACATCGGCAAATTTGTGAAGTTCACGGAGCTACTGCCATGCTGACAGGGAATTTCGCTACTCCATGACAATGACTCTCCTGCAGCTCAGATCAGAACTTTATTGGACTCTTTTGGCTAGGAAGTTTTGAACCCTCCCCCAGTTAGCCCAGACCTTACTCCGAGTTTTCATCTTTTCCCATATTTCAAATACCATTTCGGCGTCAATCACTGCAACGATAACGAATACCTGAAACTTGGTTATCAGAGCAGGCAGCAAGTTTTTATGAAGAGGGTATTCTAAATCTAGTTGTTAGGCATTATAATTGTTTAAACAAACTTGGCAATTATGTTGACACCAAAAACAACTTATGTAGAATCTGAAAATAATCTTATTCTTTAAAATTTTATTTCACTTGGTTTTTATTTTCGAACTGCCCTTATTTAAAAAACACTCTTCGTATATGTAAAGGATATCCCAAAATTTACGCAATAATTGAATTAAATATGAAATAAATTATTTTAAAGTTGACAACGAAAAAAAAAAAGAAAACAGTATTACAGCTGACAGTTTAGAATCAGTAAAAATTAAACATAACACAAGAGATTTCATCGTTAAACGGTATTTCAATAAATCTAATTAGAACAAAAGACATTTCTTGGGTGAGTTACACCCATTTCGGAGATCAGAAGTGGCCTTCTAAATCATGAGATTCAACACCATTGGTTTTCATTCTGTGGTGTAATTGGAAATAAAAAGTCTATGTCAACAAGCCCACATCAACACATGCATTGACATCGCTGCATTAACGAAATTTAGCCACATATATGTAATATGATCAAAACAAATTTTGAAATAATCTTTCTCAATATTAGAACATTATTTATATTATTTAATTAATTTTCTGATCATTTTAAAGAAGTTTTCCAGTTCACTTTTTTAAAAAAGGTAAGAGAATTTACCTTTACGTAATAAACCCCTTTTAACAGTTTGAGCAGAGTTTCTGCTATTGAATTTACAGCCATTTAGATTCTATGGGTATGACTCGCTCGATATCATAGCTGGTACAGTTTGTAATTGTTGGAGCAGTTTCTGCTATCGAATTTACATACATTGAGCTTGTTTCTTCTTATAGTGAAGTATAGAAAATATCTCCAATGATATTCTCTTTATAAAAAGTAAGCTTCTAAAATTTTGCAGAATTTACAAACCATTGCTGTACAGCAATTTCTGACCCGTATAACATCCTCGGGTACATAATTTCATTAAAAAATAGTATTTTAAAATGAAAAAACAAAACATATTTTTTAAATAAATGGAACGTTTTGATTGTCTTTATCATGCTTTTTCTTTTAAACAAAATGAGCTAAGTAAAGAACTTTTTTGTTAGTAACAAATCATTACACTGCAAAAGTTAAGAGTTTTACACAATGTGGAAGCAAACATCAATGTATATTTAACTGGAAATATGTCATACTTTAACAGTAATGATAACAGAGACTATTATGTTAAAGTACTGAAATTTAATAAACATGACCTATAATTAAACATAATGATTTTTAGTTCTTTAACATCAAGTAATGTTTCACAATTTAGCGTAATAAATCAATAATACATTAACATTAGAGGACAAAACTTTAAAGCTGAGTTATCAATAGTTATTTAAATAGAATAGTACCCACGTATTTCAAATCAGATAAAAACGTCTCTTAAATAATAACTGAATCGTTACTTTTAAGTTTTTTTGGGGAAATAAATTAAGAACTTATAAAGGACAAATCTTATAATAGATATTTGCACAGAAAAAAAAACATTTTACTTACCAAAATTCACCCTCATTTGAATTCTTGTGGTTTAATCTTTCATTGTCTTCCGGAAGAATTTTTTCCCATTCTAATGAACTATAAAAGACATAAGCAATATTTTTTTACATAGATTATATTTCTAATTCAATGAACTGTCAATGTGATTTCTCCATTGTGCAAAAGGCCCTAATATACACATCAGGTTATTTTATCGTAATTAAAAATTTCCATCAGATATTTAACAGATAAAATGGCTTTTATGACTTATCTTACATGAATCAGTATCATAATACAGTTATAATATAACTTAAATAATAAACTTCTAATAATGGTTCATATGGTATAAGAGTCCTACGCAATAGTCTGATGTTGCATTATCATATAATAAGAATTTGTTTTACAACACCCTCTTTCCAGATATTTATGTATCATGGAAATGGGAAATAAATTTTGCTTTTAAAACAAATATTCATTGTTAATGTAAGTAGTTTCGATTGCTTTTTTATTATTTATTTAAAAAGGCTTCTAGTACATATCCTTGAAAGTCAAATTTTGTCATTTAATAAACCAAAACGTATGCATATTTTATGCTAAATTTCTGGAAATTAAATTAGTTATTATGTCTTTAGGTTTGAAGAGAATGCTATTTATATACAGCTGTTATTCTAAAACATCGAATTTTGTTTTTACTTGTAAAAATGCGAAACGTCACGGAGAAGCCTCCATTCCTTGTTACATCAGTATAGCTAACAACACGAGTCTAAAGAGAATGAGAAAATGGACGAATCGGTAAATCGATGAAAAGCCAATCACTAAATCAGGGTGCGTAGCCAAATTATTCAACAAAAAATAAGCACCTTTTAAGCACTTTTCAAGCACTCAAAAAATATTTTTAAGCGCTTTAAAAAAATATCATAATTAGGCAGGGTAGGAAAGTTTTTGACAATTGACTGTTTTATCTTGTATTAACTGTCATGTCAAACAAAAAAAAAACCTTTTGGCATTGTTTTTGACAATTGTCAAAAATCATGAAATTTTTTAATCGTGTGAAACGAATGGCGTTTTCATACGCTATGGATTGACAATGTGCCGAAATAGATTGTGGTTGAATTAATTGTGAAATTGTTGAATAGAACAATGTGAACTCTGCTTTTTGCATAATTTGAAGCGAAAATCAACATAGTAAAGGAAAAATTCCATTTTGAGAAAGGGAAAATTAGGTACTTTTTAAAAACACTCAATGAAAAAAACACCTTTAAGGGCTTTTAAAAACGAAAATAAGCACCTTTGAGCACTTTTTAAAAACGCTACGCACCCTGTAAATAAATGAATGAGCAAAAGGAAGAATCAATAGTTAATATGGGATTCAATGAAATAGCGATTAACTAAATGGGTTATTCAATGAGTCCATCGATCAGTGAACGAATAAATTAAATGATTTATCAGTCTGTTATGGCTTATTCCGTATTTCGCAGCTTCATAGATTCGTTTTAAACATTAGTTTCATGCTTTTGAAAATAAAATTATCAAAAAATTAGACATCAATATGAATTTAACTTAAAATAATATGAATCTTGCCAGGATTTAGATTATTTCAAATGAAAAAAAAAAACTTCCTCACTCTTTTGACCAAGATCCCATGTATTCTGATAATGTTGGAAGAGGGTTTCTTAGTTTAACCAGCTGGGTTTGATCACCATTCAAAGTTTCAACCTGTTTTAAAAGATAACAATAAAAGAATTATTCTGGAAAATTGTTTTTCATTTTCTTAGCATTTATTTTAAGTTCGAAACATGTATCATTATTTTTTATTTTTGTTTAGTAACTTGAAATAGTAACTTTTGTTTAACTTGAAAAAAAAAATTAACTTTAGACATACGTACTAAAAAGTAAGTTTTATGGTTAGATTGGCTAAGTAATAAGTGTTAATCAATCAATCAGTAAACTTAAAATAATCACAATAATAATCATAATAATCGCAATATAATCATTGAATAAGCTAACAATTTTTTAACAATTAGGATTTGATAAATTTCTGAAATACAGGGAATAACGTTGGAATGAATAAATTCCTTTAAGTGAATTACAATTTTCTCAAATTAAAAACGTTTTCACACAATTATGAAATCAGTTTCCCTAAATAAAATTTTAATGAAAAACTAAAAATGTCATTTAATTAATTTAATAACTATCAAAAATTATTTTTTTGCAAAATTTAAAATATTTGTATGCATAAAAATTAAAATATATCGTTCATGAATACAAAAATATATCATGATAATTTTTATCATGCAAATTTCAATTGTTTGGAAATATTAAATCAAAGCATATATTTACCTTGTCAATGCCCAAAACTCTATAGTTAGTTCCTAGTAATATGCCATTAGCAAGTTTCTCCGGTTGATTTCTGGACTGTAAAAAGGGTCATTATACCATTTTTATATACAAAATATCTGACTATCGAAGTAATCAAACTAAATTGTGGAAACAATTTAAGTATTAACTAAAAAAAGCAATTAGATAATTTTATTGCCTCTATAGATAGAGGAAGGAAAGAAACAGTATGTCTATTCTAAAAGCTGTAAAAATTTTATGTAGTTATTTTGGAATTTAGTTAAAAAAGTTATCAACAGATGGCACTGTGCGCTGTACAGAGTTCTTGAAGGGAATACATATGTCGTAGGATTATTATCTAACCTTTAATATTTTAGGACCAAAAACACACGTTGCTTAATAGAATAGTTTTAACCTTCTTCCGACAAACTTTTTTTCACATTTTAACACTATAAGTAATAACTGGTCTTCTATTGTTTGAAGCACCATCTGTTAGCAACTTTTATAACTAAGTTCCAAAATTTCTGTGCGAAATTTTTACAGCTTTCACAATAAGCATACCGTTTATTTCATTCTTTTATCACCTTTTCTTTACGAGATTTATGTATGTGCGGAGGTTACTTATCGCGCCGGAAGTAAACTACATCGAGATTTTCGAAGACCATCAATTCTGTGCGAAAAATTACTAATTTTTTAAAAACTATTTGCGAACTATATACTCATGCTCTGTGATCCGTTAATCACTTGAATGTTAATCTCGATAAATAATAAATAAATCCCATGAATACGAATCGCGTAGTTAAATTTGTAAATAGTGCTGCGCGAGCCAGAATTGCGATGCGTGATTCGTAAAAGGCTGGATTATGCTAGTGTAGTTGTGTGCAAAAACGAATCACGTAAGCGTAAAGAATTCGTAAATTATTTATGCATTGCAAAAATTGCTAATTTAAATGCTAATGCATGATGCGATATAACGTTGGAAATGTTATTACAATAGTTATTTTGTAATGTTACTCTCCACTACTTCTCTACTATTGTAATTACGATACAATTTTGCTATAGTAGCTCTGTACTACAGTTACATATATATGCTTATATGAGTCGCTCAGAAGCCAATGCGGTTAAGTCCAAAACACAAAAATTGAGAAAATTAATGCTTTTTGATGCATTAGTTTTCAAAATTCTTGGTTTAATAATTTAATTAGAAAAGTGTATAAAGTCTTTTTCGAGGTGTAAACTCTGCAAAAAAACAAGATATGTACAGGATGTCTAAATAAAAACGTAAGTATTTATTGAAATAATGAAAGCATCTTAAAAATTTTAGGACTTATACCTTTTGGCTGCTGAAAAAGATAAGAAATTTATGTAAAAAAATATTGATAAAAAGTGGACTTATTCACAATGGCTTCTGAAATTATTGTACAAAATATTCAGAAGCTATTAAAAAAAGGGCTGTCTAACCTAGAAAAAAGTAACCAACGAGTAAATCCTTTAATAACTAAGAAGATTATTTATTTCATCAAAATTTTCAAAAATCAGAAAATATCAAAAAATGGACTTAACCGCATTGGCTTCTGAGCGGCTCATATACAAAGTGCACTTAGTACCTTCGATTATCTATTGATATTACATTTTTAAAATATACCTGATGGTCAAATAATTGGTGTTTTAAAGAAATTTATTTTTAAAAAATGGAAACTAGAAATGACCCATAATCTGCAGCATTTGGATTTAAAACAATTTAATGCGAACCCGAAAAAATTGTGTTAACTCAATATTATGCTTGCTCAAAAAACAGAACAAAAAAAGTGGGATTATAATTAAATACCACAACAAATTTACATGAATTCATTATCATATCAGACATAAAGTATCCTTTTATCCAAGCAAACTTTAAATCTTAATTGTGTGATATTACAGTAAACTCACATTTTTTTCACTAGTAACAATTCATCACCAATTGCATTATTTCCAATAAAAAATTTTTGATTAAAAAAACAAAGTATATTTCATTAATGATTTTAATGAGGAATGAGTTTACTTTTATCTGCTGCTGTACAATGCTGGTGGTGACTGTAGTAGTTTTGAGAAGTCTCCCTAGTACTTTAAGACAGGATGTAGGATCTTGGCGAATGTTAAAATTTTCAATTATTCCACCCATCAAGTCAGCTAAACCATCCTGAGAGCAAGCATATTTAAGAGCTTCATAAGATCCATGCAATCTACAGTTAACAAATACATATTTTTTTAAGAAAAATTATATACAGACACTTGTTTTGCATCATTTGATGTCAGTTGTAAGCTTGCCTACATTTTGTGAACAGGGTAAGTTTAAAAAATACATCTCTTAAAATACTCGTTAACCAATTAGTGCTCCCTTTTTAAAGAGGATTCTTAAAATGCATCATAAGTTCACAAGAATTATTTTATTCAACTTAAATCTGAAATAGAGCGGGGATAGCCTGGACGGTAGGGCGCTGGGCCCATGTCCGAGAGATCGTGGGTTCGAACCCCGCCGGCCGAAGACTCCCTGTGTAATTGGTGACTGATGCACGTTAAAATTCGGTCGAGTCGCAAAGTCCTCCATGTTCCCATAACAAATCAATACCTCTGGGGGTACTGGATTGAAGATCGATCGTTCTCCGATTCAGGTGAAAATTACGATCTGTGGATGTATTCGACTGACTACTATTCGACCGACTACTATTCGACTGACTACTATTCGACCGACTACTATTCGACTGACTACTATTCGACCAATTTGTATTTTACTTTATAAAAATGCATTCTTTAAAATGATGCAAAAAATTTTATACCTATTCAAAATTGTTTTGACCATTCTTAAATAAAATAATAAATATTTTCCAAAAGTTATTTTTTGCATGAAATTATGTTTGGATAAACGAATTTTATAATTGTGTGCAAAAAAAATTTCAATTCGCTTACAAAGTTCTCGAGATATAGTGCTACACGTAATAAATAAAATTAACATTGGTCCAAACTTTGGAGTGCTCTCCTAACCAAACTATTGAGACCATATTTCCCATATTGCGGCTACCCCCTATATATTTGAGGTCAGAACACCGAATTCATTGAAAAAAAGGTATGCTTATTCAGAGAAAGTATGGCTTTGTGTCTGATTTCGTAGCTTAAAATATCGTCTGCGCTTATTAATTAACATATTGGAAGTCACCCCCTCGAGATAATAAAATTGAGCCCTAGAATGTAAAGATTAATCATTAGATCAAAAGTTATTCAGAGTGGTCCGTTTTTTCTTCTTCTTGTACACTATTTATAAATTTGTCAATTGTATTAAATAACTTTCTAACATTTTATTCCGATCCGCTTCGGCTTGTTAATCCTTGTTCAAATTCATAATTATATTCTCTCTGTGTTGCGTTTATGATTGATTAACAAATTAATTTTGTCTTAAGAAATACTGTATGCATGCATCCTAAACTAATGATTCTTGCTTTATATCGTATGTTAACAATAACTTTACCCACTCTTATGCATGTCACATCTTATAGTAATAATAACTTTTTGCGTTCCTGAATTTTTAAAAAAAATGGTGGCGAATACTTTACACCAAATAGTGTAAAAGAAAATTTTCGATGCAGTAAAATCCATAAGAGTTATGCATGGAGTTTAACTTTGCCACCATATATGGTGTTGAGATACTCTAAAAAATTTTACAGAGTTTAGGTAAGAAAAATCTAAGAATTTTCAAGAATAAAATAGTTTATCTTTCTTTTTTATTTAAAAATGAACATCCATTGTCATTTTAGGTAAATATTAAAATTTCTAATGAAAAAATTAGTTGACATGCAAAACTGATTTCTTTAGTTTTCTCATCACAAGACAGATCTTGAACATGACTGAGGGGGAGGCATCCTCAGGGGGAGCTTGAAGCCCACCCAGCTTCAAATATATAGGTACCAGCTTATCTGGTAAGTAAAGGCAGCCTGTGCCCAGTCATGCCGTTACCACAATCATACAGTTGGTCACGAAATTGTTTAGCTTTAACTTCCATAACACCCCTTCCCAGCAACGGGACATTGTGGGAATGCCTTACTTTATTGTAACATTATTGTATTCAAAGCAATAAACTATTTAAGACGAAAACATTTTCTCTTTCCATAACTATTGCAGAAATAGATCAAGTTCTAAACATAATAACACCTCATTTTCGTACGCCACTGATTAAGTGATAAGTTATTGTCTAGTAAAAAATTAATAGCGTTTTCCTAACCGGTGAGAAAATCTATTACAGTAAATACTCACTTAGCGTATGCTTTCTCAAGCAAAGCAGCCCAGAACTGGTTAGAGTGCTGTGAATGGACAAACACTAGTTTTCCGTTCACTGTCGGTAGCCTGTCATCCACAAGGACTTCTTGCCATTCTCCGCACCACCACAATCGAAATCGAAACACTCCCACATAGTCTGAGTCCAGAGAATTGTCTGTTTCTGAACTGAATATTTGATCAGCTGGAACCACTCTGTAAAACAATCCTTTCGTGGTGCTAAGGCATCCCAGCGCAGACACAAACCAATGGTCTCCTATTAAAAATTAACACTTAATAACAACACAAACTATTGAAATGTAGCATTAGAATATGAAATCTGTAGAATATGTGTTTTATTAGAATGTGAAATTTATGTCTAAAAGAGTCTCCTGGTAAAGATTAATTTAAGACTTAAAAACAACACAAACTGTTGAAATGTAGCATTAGAATATGAAATCTGCAGAATATGTGTTTTATTAGAATGTGAAATTTGTGTCTAAAAGATTCTCCTGGTAAAGATTAATTTAAGACTTAATAACAACACAAACTATTGAAATGTAGCATTAGAATATGAAATCTGTAGAATATGTGTTTTATTAGAATGTGAAATTTATGTCTAAAAGAGTCTCCTGGTAAAGATTAATTTAAGACTTAATAACAACATAAACTGTTGAAATGTAGCATTAGAATATGTAAAATATGAAATATGTAGAATGCGTGTTACATTAGAATGTGAAATTTATGTCGAAAAGAGTCTCCAGGTAAAGATTAATTTTAGACTTAATAGCAGCACAAACTATTGAAATGCAGCATTAGAATATGTTACTGGAAAAGAGCAACTAAGATTAAATATTTGATTAATCCGTACTTGAGGTTAAGTTAATAAACTCGTTTGGCTAAACAATTTATTTAAATTTAAAATTACACAATTTTTCAGGAAGAGTTAAATCAGCGTTTCTGTAAAATAAATAAATGATTCTACAATCTGTGAGAAGTAGAGAAATAAAATGTCACATTCAATTTATTTTGTTACAAGGTATTTGTGCACGCAAACTTCACCGTGATTTTAATTTTTTTAAGAAGACACTTTGAGTATTTTTTTCTAAGGAACTCAACAATTAAAATCTGGAATAAAGAATTGTATGATAGTACATTATGTGGTTCGCATTTGAAACCTCCAGTTTGACTTATATTTATATTTAGTCTAAAATTGTGACCATGAATGTTAGTTATTATAGAGAATGGTGGCTTTATCATTAATAATAGGATGCATAGTCGTGTGAAATTGGAATTTATTGACATTAGAGCATTACATTTAACATCAATTTAAACTTAAAAATCATATATGTTTTATTTGCAAGCTATCAATTACCATTGCCTATTTAATTTGCATCACTTTATTTTTAGAGTAATAATTGTAACTTTTGAAGAACAATTATTCTTTAACAGAGTTCTCACTCAATTTCAGGAAAAAATTCCCTTACTTTTCCAGGTAGTATATCTTGTAAACTGCAATTGAAATTCATGCCATATTTTATCTATACCATGCAGTTTTTATCAGAAAACTTTAATTTTTCGATTGAAATGCCAAATATTAGATTTTGTGAATAAAATCATACAATGGAAAGAGAATGGAAGCAAAAAAGTGGAATTTAGTAAAATACTTGTAATAGATGTTAGAATTATTAAACTTAAATCTCAATAACTGATTACTGTTACTGATAATTCTAAGACCGGTTATTTTCCAGGTATAATATAGGAATTTCCCAGGTTTTTCTTGTAAAAAAAATTGCCACTTTTCCTGACTATTCTCTGTTCCTTAGAGTTAAAATTTCCTGATAATTCCAGGTTTTCCCCGTTCTTCCTGACCCGTGGGAGCCCTGTTTAATTTAATATAACATTTTTTAAAAATGTAAACAATGATATTATATGACAGACACAAGCCATTTCGAAAAGCAATGTTAAAATGATTAGTATATTTTTTATCTATAAACAAACGCTATTTGACACGAAAAATCTTGAAAAGGGGCATATTAAAATAGAAAAAAAATAGACAAACCATTGTACTAATTAGTAAAATAAATAACTTAATATTATTTATAGTAAGGAAAAAGAGAAAAAGAAATTACCAAGTTTTCCAGGAGTTATGTCATACTGTAGTGTACCATCTTGTATGAATACAGGATCCAAACACAGTTCCTAAAAAAGAAATTAATGTATTACTTTTTTGTAAACTTAAATGTTTATTTCAGCATGTATATCAAAATATGTGTTACTTTCTCCTAAATTTCTTCTGATTGTAACTATGTGCAGGTATAATAATCTTCTCTATTCAGAAATGTAGTAATTTTTAAAAAGTGACACTGAAACGGATTTGTAAAACGGAAAACAGAAGAACTCTCCAACAAAATAAACTACGAAACGAAATCGCACTAACGTTGCTCACAATAATTGAATTACAAGGCAAGACTATTTCGATACTTCATCCTACAAGATGATTCATAAAGAAATATACAGTTTCGATGCCCTATAAATCAAGAACAATATAAAATATTATATGTTACCTGCAGCAGAATTCTATGAAGATCCTTTTAAGTATTGTTAAAGATAGTCACAAATGGAACATTTGTGACCCCTTAATTATACGACACTCATCGAATCCTTAATCACTTTCTGCCCAAACGTGTTTGAAAAGGACGATTTTGCTGATTTTTCTCATTTCAGAAATTGTTTTTGTCAAAAAAGTTGCATTTTAAAATATTCTAACGACTATTACTGACTTAACACAACATTTAAATGTCACCAAACCAATTTTTTCAAATGACTAATTTTTGTAACACTTTATTTGACTATGTTTAATGTATTTAATACCATAAATGACCAAATAAAAAAAAAGAATTAGTGTTTAGTATAGAAAGGTTTAATCTGCATGCCTGAAATTCATATTTTCAAAGCTCTTTGACACATTGAAATTAACACATCACACCATTTTTCATACTTAATATCTCAATTATAAGAATTGGAACAAGAGCTCAGAATAGGTATCTATGAAAATGAAGTTCTAATTTATTCCAGATTTGTCTATCAATAAACTTGTTAACCGCTGCCTTTTACTTCATCTCTTCTGTAATCTACATACAGTTTATTTATTTGCACACAAAAAAATTAGTTTCGTTTAGCATTCAATGAGATTTTAGAACATTAAATAGGTAAAAAAAAATAATATTTACATTAATTCGATACTAACAATAACTCTCTCCATTATGTTTCTCTGTCCTGAATAAATATATAATAGAGTATTCCTACTTAAGAAAACTGTTCATTAGAAATCAATGCAAGTAGGTCTTCGAAGTATGCCCAGAAGGTACTGGAAATCAGCATTTTACGAACAGTGAGAATGATGGATCGTTTTGTCTGGGTCAAACCCGCAAGACTATTTGAATAGAATGACTCATAACATTATTTAAAAAAGGATGTTGTAAAGATTTTACAGAGGTGTAGTTTAAAATTCTTGAACAATGAACAATTACTTACTATAAGGAAAGGATAGATATTCCTAACATATTCCTTTAAAATGAAATTTCAACTTAATTTATAATATATATATATATATATATATATATATATATATATGTATATATATATATTTA